CGCGCGCTGCCGCACGCGTTCCCAGCACAGCGCGGAGCCGGGATCCGCGAACTCGGGCAGCAACTCGCCGAGGTGTTCGAGCCACAGGTAGCGTCGAAACTCTTTGACGTAGCCGTCGGAGACGTTGAGCCGCGCGCTGGCGTACGGGTCCGCGCGGCAGTGCGGCTGCGAAAGGCAGACGAGCAGCTCCGTGTCGCGACAACCCGCGAGCGAGCGCTCGTTGATGTTAGCGCTGCCCAGCAACAGGTACGTGTCGTCGACGATCATCGCTTTGCTGTGCACGTAGATCTGGTGACTGGCGTGCGTCGCCGCGCAGGGCTTAGCGCTGAGCCCGGCGAGCGAGCAGCGCTTGCCGAGAAAAAAGAAGCGAATGTAGTCGCCCGCGGTCGCGGAGCTGCCGCAGCTGCGCAGCGCGCCGTTGATCTGGTCGAAGATGAACTTCATCGTGAGGTACTGCCAGCATAAAATCTCGCTGACTGCGACGCCGCCCGGAAAGCCCTCCGGATACAGCGGCAACACCACGTACACCTTGAAGGGCGAGCTCGAGTGGATCGCCGCCTTGATGCGCACCGCGATGCAGTACGGCACCAATGAGCGCGCCGGCGGCGCGAAGGGGATGTCCCAAAACTGCGAAGAGCCGATGAAATACTGGTTCTCGATGTACAGAAACGCGTTCGCGTGCAGGATGTAGTAGCAAAGCGCAAGCTGCAAGCCTTTGTCGCAGTAGTTCGAGGAGCTGCTGAAGAGCCGCTGCCAGTTGGCGTTCTGGAACGTGGCGGCCATGCAGTCCATCGAGCGGAAAACTTGCGCGTCGAAACGCGCGGCGTCGTGCTGCGCCGCCCACATGAAGTCGCGGCCCTCGAGCAGCCCGTGCTCGACGAGCCGGTCAACGTAGTCCTTGACAACAAACTTGAGGTGCCACGCCTGTTTCAGCACGCGCTCGAGGAAGGTCTGGTACAGGTCCCACGACGCGGGGCCGCAGATTCGCGCGTGCACGTCGTGCCAGGGTTGCCGCGGCGGCACGGAGCACGCAGCAAGCAGACATTTGTTGTAGTAGTCGCCCGCGTGCAGCGAGTTCAGCGTCGCGTAGGCCTCGTGTTCCGCGGTGTCGAAGCGGCCGATCGTCAGGTCGAGCCCGCCAAAGAAGACGGAGAGCGCGCGGCGGCTGTTCTGCGCGAGCGGGTCCACGCGCGCGTCGGTGATCACCAGCTTCTGGTGGTGAGTGAAACCAATGTGCCGGATCAGCTTGCGCAGGTCGCCGACGTCATCGGACGCAATGCGCCGGCTTGCCTCCACCTGCACTGCGCTGTTCCGGAAGTACGCTTTCGTGAGCCGATAGTAGGTGGACATCAAACCCTCCTTCAGAAAGCCGACGTTGCTGAGCACGGTGATGTCTTCCCAGATCAGCAGCACTACGCGCACGTCCTCCTGCGACTTGCGCAGCAGTAGCTCGCCGAGCGTCTCATTGTAGCGGCGTTCCGTGGAGGGCGGCTCGTCCGCGGTGCGCCGACAGAGCTTGAGGCCCGGGTGGATGCTCCAGCCACACAGAAAGACGAAGTACTTCGCGTCGTCGATCGCGTCGTACAGCGCGTCGAACGCGCCGGCGGGCTCGTACGCTGTCAAATCGCGCGCCTTGTCGCGCAGCTGCCGCGAAAGCCCCGCGTCGCCGAACAACTGCAGGCGGTTGCCGTGCGTCGCGGAGAAGTACGTGTTGCGCAAACTGACGCTGCCGGGCCGCACATTCACGTTGTAGAAGCGCAGCTCGACTTTGATGCGGCTGCAGGCGGTTTTCGCGGCGGTAATACCCTTGATGTAGTTCAGGTAGGTGTTCCACTGCAACTTGGTCCAAGGCTTCAGTCCGGAAAACGACTTGCTGCCCGCGGACTTTGCGCTGGGCAGTGGCTCGGTGCGCGAGCTTTCGCAACTCTGCTCGGCGCCCGCCTCGTGTTCTGCGCCGGCGGTCGCCATGTAGAGCCAAATGCGCAAATGTCCGAGCTCCAGCAAGTGCCGCAAGTCGACGGAGCCAGTCGCCAACGTGGGCCCCAGCTCCGAGCTGAGCTCATCGAGCTCGCTGGCCTTCCAGTTGCGCCGACTGCTGTCGACGACCTTGAACAGCAACCGGTGTGCCGCGCCTTCCCTGTCCAGCGACTCGGTAAAGTCTAGCAGCAGCGGCACGGTGAACTCGTGGTTCCACTTCGGGTAGCAGTCGCGCTTGACGGCGCGGGTGCGGCCGAGCCGGTAGCGCACGTTCGGGAAGTCTGCCTCGACGATGCAGAGCCCGTTCGGCTTGTGCTGCGAGATGTTCGGGTGGAGCAGGCGTCGGTAGAGCCGCTTGAACCAGCGTTCGCGCGCGCCGCGCGAGCGCAGCAAGTTCTCGCCTTCGATCACGTAGCAATGCAGCACGCCGAGCTTCAGAAGCCGATCTAGGTCAAAGCCGCGCATTTGCGCGGCCAGACCATCCGCAGGCCCCCAGTCAGAGTTCATTGCTTGCCGCGAGCGCCGCGCCCGAGAATTCAAATATCCTTTAAAAAATAGACTAGATCCACGGCGCAGCCCCCGGCGCAATGAGCGGCGCAACGAGCGGCGCAGCCGACGACTTATCGGACAGCGAGCTGTACAGCAACCTGGTGACGTACGGCGAGTACGTCGCGGTGTTGTCGCAGCTCGAAGACGCCGAGTCGAAGCAGATGTGCGCCGACGCGCAGGACGTCTACCAGTTCTACTTGAGCAAGGACCCGCTGCAGCTCGTCGGCGCGAGCTGCGCACTGCCGGACGCGAAGCGACTGGGCGAAATCTTGCGCTTGCTGCAGTGGGACGACGCGAAGAAACGAGTCGCGCGCGTCAGCGTGCGGCCGTACGGCGTGGACGGCGCGGCGGAGGAAGTCGAGTTTGCCGCGCTGAAGCTGCTGCCGCGATTCGACGAAAAGAAGTTGTTTCCGGGGCTCGAAGTCGAGTGTCTGTTCCAGGAAGACGGCGAGTGGTACCCAGCGCGCGTGGTGAAGTGCGAGCCGGACGGCGCGGAAATCGCGTACACCGGCTACGACGCCAACGAAAGCGTGCGACTCGACCGCATTCGGCTGCCGAAGCGGCCGGAGCGCGCGCGCGCGCAGAGCCTCGACGAGGAGGACACCATCACGACCAGCGCGGGCTACAAGATCCCGAAGCGGCTGTTGGTGCGCCCAAACGACTCGCTGGAGGTGCGGCAGCAGAAGAAAAAACAGGTCGACCAACTCAAGTACGGGCAGAAGAAGGCGCGGCTTTCGCAAGAGTCGATTCAGCGGAAGTCGAGCTGGAAACAGCACCAGCGGCTCACCAAGATTTAGCGGCGCGCAGCCGCTCCAGCGGTTGCCGATTTGCAGTTGCGCATTTGCCGGTGCACGGCTGCAGCTCGAGTTTAGCGCAACGCAGACAGCAGCGCGCGCGCCGAATTACCAGCGCAAACAGCGTGTCTTGCGTTTTGCGAAAAAACCGCGCATTCCTCTGCGAGATCTGCCTGCAAGCGTTCCAAAAAGTTTCGCAAAAATTTATCAGATATGCCTTCTTATAATCCTGCAGCAGCACTATAGATAAAATAAATCCGTCAGGCTGCGCAGCGATCTGGTTTGTTTTTTTGAACACTTTTTTTTTAGCCTGTCGAGAAAACCGCGACTGAGACTGCAATTGAGAAGCAGGCTGTTCATCTGATCGGGCTCGCTCACTCGAGTCTCGCGGCCTGATGCAGCAAAAATTATGCAAAAAATTGGGAAGCGCATAGGCTAGCGCTGCAGCCGCTGACATCCGCTGGCGGCGCTGCGCTACAGTTTGGGCGTCACAAAGTCGAAGAAGTAGACTAGGTGGCCAAGCAGAATTCCGAGCAGCACCTGCAGCGCGAAGCCGCGCGAGCGCAGGCGCAGCAGCAACTGGATCCAAGGCAAGTAGGTCGCGCGGAAGCGGAACAGCGCGATGCTGAACTCCGCGGCGGACACGCGCGACCAGATGTATGAGCACGCGGTGTGGAACACCGTCGAGACCGTCGGCGCCTGCAGCACGAAGAAGTTGAGCAGCGCGATGGCGCCGCCGAGCAGCAGCAGACGCCGCAAAAACTTGCGGCTGTTCGCGTAGTGCGCGGTCTCCAGCTCGTGCATGTACGAGGCGAGCTGGTAGAGCGCCCAAAGGCTGTTGAAGCCGAGCTCGCCCTGGTACAGCTGCGCAGACACGGCGCGCCAGAGCTGCCCGCGGCGCAGCAGCAGCTGGTTCGACCACAGCGGTGCCGTGCGCGCGACGAGTCGGCTGTACGTCAGCAGCGAGAGAGCGGCGGACGTGCCCACGCACGCCGCGGTGACGTACGCCTTCGGCAGCGAGTCCACGGGCGGCGCGCTCAGCAAAGGCCGCGCGCGCGCGCCGCGCCGGCGGAGAGCGGCTTCGCGCGAGTAGTCCGCACCTGCATATATAATATCGAAATTCAAAAATAGGCTGGCGAGGCTACACCATTTCGGCGGACGCACGCGACGCGCCGCCTAGAGCTCGTCGTCGACGTCCTCGTCGTCCTCCTCGATGTTCGCGCCCGAGAGGTCGTACATTTTGTCGAGGAACGGCGCAAACTTGCTTTCGATCTCCTTGCGCTTCGCCTCGAGCTCGTCGAACGACGCGCTCGGGTTCGCTTGCAGCCACGCCTCGCCCTCTTCGACGACCGCCTTCAGCTGCGCGACGTCTTCCTCGCCGAGCTTCTCGCCCGGCGCTTCGACCTGTTTCTTAAGGCTGTACACGTAGCTGTCGAGCTGCGAGCGCGCAGCAGCCGTCTTGCGCAGCAACTCGTCCTCCTCCGCGTACTTCTCGGCCTGCTTGACGAGCTCTTCGATCTCTTCGGGGCTCAGGCGGCCTTTGTCGTTGTTGATCGTGATCTTCTTCTCCTTGCCGCTGCCTTTGTCGACCGCGGAGACGTCAAGAATGCCGTTCGCGTCGATCGAGAACGTGACCTCGATCTGCGGCACGCCGCGCGGCGCGGGCGCGATGTCTTTCAGCTCAAACGTGCCAAGCAAGTTGTTGTCCTTCGTCATCGCGCGCTCGCCTTCGTAGACCTGGATCAGCACGGCCGGCTGGTTGTCCGTGTAGGTGCTGAAGGTTTGGCTCTTGGTCGTCGGAATCACGGTGTTGCGCTTGATCAGCGGCGTCATCACGCCGCCGACGGTCTCAATGCCGAGCGTGAGCGGTGCGACGTCCAGCAGCACGATGTCGTTCTCGGTCGCCTCGCCCGACAGAATGCCCGCCTGCACCGCGGCGCCGTACGCGACGGCCTCGTCCTGGTTGATGTTGTCGTTGATCTTGTCCTTGCCGAACACCTCTGCCAAGCGCTGGCGGATCTTCGGGATGCGCGTCGAGCCGCCGACCAGGATGACCTCGTCGATCTGGTCCTTCTTGAGTCCGGCGGCGTCGAGTACCTTCAGCACTTCGCGGACGGTCTGCTCAAAGAGCTCGCGGTTCAGCTCCTCGAAACGCGCGCGCGTCAGCTCGTACTCGAAGTCCGCGCCGTCGACCAAGTTCTCGACCGACACGGTCGTCTTCGGCAGCGAGGAGACCGTGCGCTTCGCCTTCTCGGCCTCCTGGCGCAGCCGCTGGCGCGCCAACATGTTCTTCGAGATGTCCGTGCCCTGCGTCTTGCGGAAGCTGCTCAGCATGTCCTGCAGCACATTTTCGTCAAAGTCCTCGCCACCGAGGCGCGCGTTGCCGCCGGTCGAGAGCACCTCGAAGATCCCGTTGTCGATGGTCAGCACGCTAACGTCGAAGGTGCCGCCGCCGAGGTCGTACACGAGAATGTTGGTCTCTTTGTCGCTCTTCTTGTCGAGCCCGTACGCGATCGCCGCGGCGGTCGGCTCGTTGATAATGCGGATCACGTCGAGCCCGGCGATTGCGCCGGCGTCCTTCGTCGCTTGACGCTGCGCGTCCGAGAAGTACGCGGGGACCGTGATCACCGCCTTCTTCACCTTTACGCCGAGCTTGCTCTCCGCGATCGTTTTCATGCGCGCGAGCACCAGCGCGCTGATCTCTTCGGGCGTCAGCGTCTTCTCTTCACCGTCGACCTCGAGCCGGATCATCGGGCGGTTGTTCTGGTTGATGATGTCGAACGGCAGCCGGCGCTTCTCCTCCTCGATGTTCACGTCGAACGGGCGGCCAATCAGGCGCTTCGCGTCGTAGATCGTGTTCTTCGGGTTCATCGGCTGCAGCAGCTTCGCCTTCTCGCCGACCACGCGCTCGTTGCCCTCCATGAAAGCTACGTACGAGGGCGTGATGCGGTTGCCCAGGTCGTTCTGAAAAATCTCGATTTTGCCCCCCTTGTACGCGCCCACGCACGAGTAGGTGGTGCCGAGGTCAATGCCGATAATGTGCTCTTTCTCGGCTGCGTTGCGCGCGCGCGAACTTACTAGAGTCGGCCAAGGCGCTGAGGCCGAGGAAGCCCGCGCCGAACAGCAGTTTCGAAATCCACATGGGTGAAAGTTTCGCTTTTCAATCGCAAAATTAATATTTATAATTAGGAGCAAATTAAGCATAAATACGCCAAACTCGCCAAAACGGGGACGATTTGCCGCGAGACGCCGACCAGCTGATCCGAGTAGTTCCGGACCACTTTGAGAATTCGCGCGTGCTGCGCTTCGGGCACGCGCGGATCTGCCAGCAGTTCGCGCAACAACCGGCCCATCACGTCTTGCATATCCACGCCGTGCGCGTAGAGCTCGTAGAGCAGCGACTTGCACTGCAGCAGCGCGTCGACGCCGGGCCGCTCGACGACCAAGTCTTTGATCTGCAGCAGCAGCGCGAGCCAGCTCGGCGGCTGCACGGCGCCCGAGAGCGCGAGGCTCTGCAGCATCACGCCCGCCGCGCGCAGGTCGCCGTGCACGAGCGCCGCGATCTGCGCGAGCTGGGTCGGGCTCACCGTGAATGCGGCGCGCGCCGCGAGCCGCGCGAGGTGTGCGGCGACCTCCGCCGCGCCGAGCCGCGGGAAGCGCACGCACACGCAGCGGCTGCAAAGCGCGTCGATCAAGTCGCTGGTGTTCTCGACTAGCAGCACGAAGCGACAGGTGGGCGCGGCCTTCTCAAACGTGCGGCGCAGCGAAGCTTGCGCACTGAGCGAGAGCCGGTCCGCGTCGTGGATCACGAACACGCGGAAGCGCGGGCCGCGCGCCGCGCCGAAAAACGCGCGGCTGTTCGCCTCTGCGCTGTACTGCCGCAACACGTCCTGCACGATGTTTTTGTCGTCGACGCCCAACGCGCTCGCGAACAGTTCGGTCGTGTGCGCGCTGTTCAGCAGCTCGATCGTCTGCTTCTTCTGCGTGACGAAACTCTCCATCCGCAACTGCAAGTTCGCGCCGCCGAAGAGCTGCTGCAGCAACAAGCGGCAGCGTAGCAACTTTCCGCTCCCGCGACTACCGCTCAAGATCACGTGGCTCGGGAGCTGCTGCTCCAAGAGTCGCTGCAGCGTGAAGTTCTGTTGCGTGTGCAGGTCCAGCTCCGCGAACAGCTGCGGCGCGTACTCGTCGACCCATAGCTTCATTCTCGCTGCGAAGGCTCTGCACCGCCGCCGCTTAAACGCCTTTCGAAATTAGAATTTTGCGGCTCTCTTTATTTGCGTACAGCGGATGCGGGCGGATCAGTTGCGCGCGCTCCGCGAACTGCAGGAAGCGCTGCACTGCGGGCGGGCTCGGTTCTACTGCGCTCGCGACGCGCCGGCGGCACGCCACGCAGTTGCACTCCGCGCAGCAGGGCTTTACGCGGCGGTCCACGTCCATGTTGATCAAGTGGCCCATCCACGCAGCACTGCCTGGCTTCGCACCCGGCTCCGCGCCCGGCTTCGCAGCCAGCTCCGCGGCCGCCGGCGCGGCGGGCTCTGCTGCGACCTGCGGTGACTCGCGCGCGTTTGCGGACGCCGGCTGTTGCTGCGGCGCAGCTTCCAGGCCGGACGGAGCGCCGTGCGCTGCAATTTGCGTCTTGCTCTCGGCCGCGCTGAACGAAGCGCAACCAAAGAAGCCCTTCAGTCTCCGCAGCCACGACGGCTGCGCGCCCGCTGCGGGCGCACCGACTTCGAGCAACCGCTGCTCTGCAAGCTTCGCAGCGAGCTCCGCCGCGATCGCGTCCAGCCGGATGCCGACCATAACGTTGACGGGGTCGTGCAACTCTTGCGGCTTCGTCACTGCGACTGTAATCGGGCGCTCTTGCGGCAATTCTTCGTCCTCGCTCAGCGAGTCGTGCTCTGAAGCGACTGAGCTTGCGTAGCTCATCAAGTCGTCGAAAAACGAGCCCGAGTTCGACGGCGTGCACGCTTCGGAGTACCTGCGCGCGCAGCCGCGCGGCAGCGCCGCGCTCAAAAAAGGCGCGCGGAGCTGCTGCGCAGCCCTCGCGCCGAGCGAGTCTCTCGAGGGCGCGCTCGCACCCTCGTTTAGCGAACGGCTGGGCCCCGCAGTATTTGAAGCGCGGCGTCCGCTCGCGTTTGCGAGCCGTGCGTTGATGGCGTCGAACTTCGCGCCGAGCCGCGCCGACTCCGACGGAGTTAAGCTGTCTAGCGCCGCGCCGCGCGCGAAGCCTGCGCTGGCCGCAAACGACGCACTCGACTTCGCGTGACGGCCCACGACGTCAAAGTTCTCGGCACCCTGTGTCAGATCTCTTCGCTGTCCATCCGCTTCTGTGCGGCGATGCATGCGGCCTATATTAAAATATTTGCCGCGAGCACCCTGGCAGGTCGGCGAGCCGCGAAGCTGCGCCGCACGCTGCGCTCGCGCGATCCCGTTAGAAACTTGCGCGCTCTCTCCCACATCACTCCCGAAATCTCGCGCATCAGCCGCGAAGCGCTCGCTGCGCGTCCCGAGCGCTCTTAAATCGATAGCTGCGTCGAACTGCATTTCTGCATCACAACTGTAACCTAATTCAGGGTGAGCGATCGCATTCTGCGGCTGAGAAACGCTCCGCGCATGTACGCGACTGAACGAAACCCTGGCGGAAGCACGGTGGGTTCCGACCGGATCAATGTAAACGTAGCCGTCGCGAAAGGAATGGAAGCCTGAATCCGAAAAGAAGTCATGGCCAATTCCTTGCGTCCCGTCGTCAACTGCGCCATAACGTTCTTGAAGCGATTCGTCCGAAGCACTGGCGCGAGAAACGCGCTGCGAACCACTCTCTTGCAACTTAACGGACTCCGCGCTCGTTTCCTGTCTGGCGCGATTGCCGAGTGCTGCGAGAGCATCTGCTGCGGCTGACCCGGAAGGTGAAGGAACAGCTACGCCGGAGTGTTTCTGAGGAGACTGCTCGAGCTGCGTTTGCACTGTGTTCAGCTTCCGCAGGAAGCTGTTTCGACTAACCATCGCGCGCACGAATTCCTGCAAGTTTACGGAGCTCAGGGCAAAAGCGCTGTCCGCCGAGCGTCCCTTGAACGAGCCTGCAGCTGGACTGAAAACGCTGTAAGACAGGTTTTGCCGCTGGATTTGCTCGAGTGTTTCGGCAACTCTGTAGTGCCGCTTGAGCGCCGAGTCGAGGTTCGACAGTTGAAGCCTGGTTTGCAGCTGCGTCGCGCCGATGATGAAAGGTTCAACTCGGGCAGCTTCGCGAGATGCAAACTGGTCCAGCTCCATCCCAAGTTCACGCGCAAGTGTGCAGTCGAATGAGCTGCTCTTCTGCAACACGAGCGACGAGTACTGAGCGGTTATTTCGCGCGTTTTAACTAGCTTGTAGAACTCGATGTAGCCTCGAAGCAGGGCTGGCGACGTGCGCGAGAGGTCAACGCCGAAAGTAGTCACGACGCAAAAGTTGCGTGCAAAAACGCGGGCTTCGATGCCGCGTCGAACGTAGCTCAAAATGAGGTGGCTCAGTAAAGGGGAACGCTTCAACGCGACCAGCCGCTCGTGGCGTTGCTCCGTCGCCGCGTGGCGCAAAGCGGCAAAGTCAAGCAGCGCGAACACGTTAGGGCACAGAGCACTGTTCGCAGAGCGCAACAGCGCGTCCGCACCGCCCGCAATAACGAAGTCGAGCGTCGAAACGTCGATGCGGAACGGGACGTATCGGTTGCCGTGATCCGTTCCGACGGCTCGTTGCGCGCCGTCCGGCGCAGCCGAAAGCAGCGAGTAGCAGCGCTCAACGGAAAGTGAAAATTTGTAGTTTTTCGCGCACTGCGCCTGCAGTATTTTGCGCACGCTCTTTTTCGCGGCGCCCGCGGCGATCGCGTCGAGTGCGGTAGAACCGCCGCGTTGACTACTGACGTAGTATCGCAAAGCGTCGCAAAGCTGCAGAGCCACGTCGGCGGACGGAACGAAGGCGAATGCGTCGAGCACACTGTCGTACTCGACCGTGCTGCGTAAATCGTGCGCGCCGCGTTCCTGGCTGCCTGTCGAAGCAAGTGCGGTCTGGTCGTACAGAGCGGCGAGCTTAGAGCGGAACTTGTTGCTGCGGAAGTCTTCGACGTGCATGGCTTCAGCGTGGAAGTGCGAGGTAATGGAGCGCTCAACGTCTGTTTCGTCCACGTCGCTGCTCACAGCCTTGGTGGCGGCAGCGCGCCGGAAGTCAACACGCTTCAGTATGTCGATCGCGGCGTTCGCGCCGCTGAACTCGTGCGCCGCCAGCTTGATTAAAAAACGGGAACGCACTGGCGCTAACGGCTGAAATCCCTGTTCAGTTATTGCCGCAACGCGTTTGAAGATTTCCACGAAAAAGTGCTGCAGCAGTCCAGGCACGTGTTCGGTGCCGAGCACGGTGTTGACGAGCGGGGAGTTGCCGGTGCTGATGAGCGGCAAAACGACGGAGGTGCGCCGGTCGACGAGCGCCGCGGCCAAGTGGCGAAATCGATTGAACAACTCGCTCGAAGTAGTGTTGGAAGCGATAACGCAGTTTTCCTCAGCGAGCGGCGCGAGCAACTCTTCGTTTGCGACGAGGTTGTCGAGCTCGATCTCGCGCGGCGCACACTGTGGACGCAGAAGAATGTAGACGGCCGCGGCGGAGAGCGCCTTCTGTTGCGGCGCGTCTGCGCCGTGGTAAGATGTCAGCGACTCTGAAGACGGCGAAGCGGTAGAACCTTTGACGCTCATGAGATTAGCGCGATCATAGGAACTGCGCCATTTGGGGTGCATTAAATTGCTCGCTCTCACAGGGCGCTGGCGCGAGAGCCACCTCGATGTGGCGCTGAGCTTTTCGAATTGATTGCAGCGCTGCTGCAGTTTGCGAGGCGCAGCACTTCGCCGCGAGAAAGGACGCGAGCGTGGGGTGCGTCGGAGGCAACTGCAGCGCTTGAACCAACCGGTCGACCGCTTGGCGCACTGCCAAGTGCGAGTGGCTCTGCAGTAGTTGCAGTTCTAGCGCCATGTGCTGCACAGCGAAATTCACGTTGAAGTCGTGCGCCGGGAGCAGAGGAGTTTGTTGCGCAGCAGTGGTTCGCAAGCTGGGTGGCGGTGGTTGCCAAGTGACCCGGAGTTGCAGCTCGTCAGCCACCGAGATGCTGGGAAGCAGTGTGAGCGGCGCGCAGGCAACCATCTTGCTGCCGATAGCAAGCAAAAAGGCGGCGGCATTGGGCGTGACGAGTGTCGCGAAAAAGATCAGCTTGCGGAAGAAAAGTACGAGCTCGGTCGGCTCGAGCCGGTCGAGCATGAACAGCAGCTGGTCGAACACGCAGCACCGCAGCGGCTCTTCGAAGAGCTCGGGGCGCAGCAGTTTGTACGTGGCTTCAGCAAAGTCGAAGACGCCGTCGGCGAGCTTGTTGTCGGTGTGCAGAAAATGCAGAAGCCGGAAGTAGGCCAGTTGCCCGCGCAGCGAAGTCTGCGCACGAATCTCTTTGAGCGCGCACTCCGCAAGCGCGCTAACGCGTGGCAGCGCGTCGAGAAACGCCTCGTCGAAGTTCTCTGCAAGTTCGAGCGCCTGGTCGGCGTCCTCCGCGGCAAGTAGCGCGAGCAGTGTGCGTTCGACAAACGGCTCCGGAAGTTCGGCGCGCAGCTCGTACGCAAGGTCGCTAAACAGCACTAGTAAGCGCGTGCTCGAAGCAGAAGACAGCGATGCGATGGCCGCGTTGAAGCGCGCGTAGCAGAGCACGAGGGCGGAAGGCAGCAGGCGTGCGAGGCGCGACAAACAGCAGTCGCGAGTATCGTCTGGAAGCTGCAGAATTATGTCGATGGCCTCGGCGGCTGCGTCTTCTGAGAGAAGAACAATCAGTCGCGCAACGCTTGCGAGAGCGAGTTTGAAGGCGCGCGTGCCCACGCTCTCCTCCGATTGCGAATTGCTGCACGTGGAGTTGCTCTCGCTTTCGGCGCAACTGCTCCCGACGCGCGGTTCCGACTCAGCCGCAGAATTACTGCAGTCGCTGTCGCTGTCGCGTTCTCCGTCTGACGTTGCGAACTCCGCGCTGCTGCAGCTGCGCAAAGCACTTCGCTCGTCGGCCTCCGGCTCGGAGAAGTCGGCGTTGACCGCGGGTTCGGCTACCGCGGGTTCGGCTACCGCGGGTTCGGCTACCGCGGGTTCGGCTACCGCGGGTGCGGCGCCTGTGGGTTCAGCGTCCGCTGTACCGCGCGCTTCGGACGTTGCTGAGTCAAGCGGATCAGCGCTGGACGCGGCGTAGGTGGCCGGTGAGGCGTGCGCCAATTCGCGGAGTGCGAGCTTCACGACGGAGAGCGCCTGCGCTTCGACAAAGTCGCGCAGCGCAGCGCTGGCCGCGAGGCCGCGGAGGGGAAACAGCTCTGCGATGCAACGCTCACACTCGTCTACGTACGCGGCGAGAGCGGCGGGCGCGAAGTGCGCGCGCAGCGCGGCGCTGAGCGTTTCGCAGCGCTGCGCCACGGCGCGCAACGTGGCGAGCTCGGACATGCGTGACGAAATTAGAAGGCAGCAATTTATTAAGCGGCGCAATTTACGCCCGGCTTGCGGGTCGAGTCGCGCGCCATGAAGCGCTCGTAGAGCAGTTTCTCGATGTCGACGAGCGAGCGCATGCACTGGTAGAGCGTCTCTTCTTCTTCGTGTGCGGCGGAGACGTTCGGCAGATCTGCGTCGATGTTGATGCTGATGGCTTTGCGCAGGTCGCGAAGCGCGGCGCGGTCCGCGGGTTTCGAGAGGTCGAGCTGCTGCACGATCTCGATGGCTTCCGCAAGGTTCTGCTTGCAGGTCTCGAGGATGCAGGAGGAGTCCATGCGCTTGTTGGTGCTGTAGGGCGTGAAGGGGCTGAAGCGCATGCGGCACTCGACCGGCGCCTCGTCCACCACGGTGAACGCGCGGACGGAAAGCTTCTGCGTCTTTGTCAGCGGCGCGACGCAGAGAAAGATCGGCGCGCGCAGCCGCTTCTGCTTGATGAAGCGCGAGGCGCGCTGCGAGACCGCCCACGAGGCGAACTCGGGCAGCGCCTCGGGCTTGAGCGTGGTGCTTCCCCAGCCGACGATGAACATGCGCGGCGTGTTCTTGAGCATCACGCTGAGCATCGCCTCGTAGTGCGGGAGGTCGAAGCCCGCCGGGTTCGTTTGGCAGTCTGGATGGATGAAGTTGATGAACCCGTCCGAGACGACCAGCGAGCCTTCGTCGCTGAAGCTGCCGAGGAGAGTCGTGCAGTTCGGCTCGCCGCTGTCGACGAGGTACGCCGCGTGCATGATGACCGAGAGCGCAAGCGGCTTGACTACGACGTCTGCTGCGTCCATCATTGAAAATCTAATTATCGGAAAAAAAAGCCCGCCCGGCGCGGCACGACGGGGCAGCGCATTGCGACCCGGCGCTGCCGCGCGTGCGGCGCTGCCGAGGCAGCGGCCAATTTTCTGCGTGCATGTTCCGCGGCCGAAAATACATTTCTCTTTAACATGGAGTCTTACTACCCCAGCTGGACCGTCATTTTCTGCAGCGTGGTCTGCATCGGGCTGCAGATGTTCTGTTTGATCTCCGAAAGCTGGCTGACGGTAAGTACCGCGCGCCACGCGCTAGGTAACCACGATGCAAACGCCGCGGCAGTTCTACCGCTACTGGGGGTTGCTGACCGTGTCGTCCGAGCAGCGCCGTTCGCACGAGAAGACCTACCGCTTGGTGTGCGAGGCGGCTGAGAAAGAGGCGGCCGAAGCTGGCATGTGCATCAGTCCCTACTGTCGCTACCTCAAGTCGAAGTGCCAGGCGACGCAAATCATCATGTACGTGAGCTACTTCGTCGCGGCCGTGCTGGCGCTCTGCATCGTGACGGTGGTATCCGGCGCGCTGCTGCAGTGCTTGAACCGAACGAACTTCAAACGCACCGCGCTCTACATGTTCCTCTTCAGCAGCAGCGTGCAAGTCATGAACCTGGTGGTGTACCTCGGCGCCATGAACGTCGCGTTTCTTTCGGCGAACCAAGCCTCGTACTACCCGATTCCGAACATCAGCGCCTCGTACGTGATCGCGTGCATCGCGGCGGCAATTACGGTCAGCGCGACATGCTTCCTGTCCGCAGACTTGCACCGGCGCAAGCGCGAGTCGCAGTTCATTGAAGACGTGTTTGAGGACATCGAGCGTGCCGAGCGGCTTTACCGCGTCTAGCGGCGCTTGCGCGCCTTGCTTGTCAGCGGGCGCCGCGTGCGCTTGTCCGCCTTCATGCGACGGTCGACGGTCTTCGCGCGCGCGGACGCGCCCTTGCCCGTCTTGTGCGCGCTGTGCGTACCGCCGCCCTTGCGCACGACCACGTACGCCTTCTCGGTCTTCGGCTTCTCCGCGCGCAGCCGCTTGCGCTGCAGCGCCAGAATCGCCTTGCGCTTCGAGCGCTCGTCGTAGTCCGCGTTGTCCGCGACGCGGCTGATTTCTTTCTTAATCGACTCGGTCGCGGCTTGCGCGCGGCGCTTGCGGCGCGCGCGCGCCTCCGCGACTTTGCGGATCGAGCGGCCGTCGATTTCCTGCAGCCGGGTGCGGAACTGCGCGTAGAGCTCGCTGTCGTACTCGACGCACGGCTTGCGCGCCGCGGCGTCGTCCGCCGCGAACCAGTCGGGCAGCTCTTGCTCGTCCACGAAGTTCCAGCGCGTGTACAGCCGGTCGATCGTGTCGAAGCGCGTAGCCGGCTTGCTCAACAAAAACGCTTTCGTCTGCACATCAGCGAGCGCGTCGTTGTCCGGCGCGGGCGCGAGCACGCTCGGCGGCGCGAACTCGATCGGCGCGCCGCGCGCGTCGCCCGCGGCAGCCTGCTCCGGCGCGCCGCCGGCTTTCTCGAGCAGTCGCGCGTTGCTGCGCGCGAGCCGCTCGCCTTTCAGCGTCTCCTTCGCGAGCCGCTTCTGGTTCTGCAGATGCCGCAGCTTCTTTTCGTTCAGCGGCAACGTCTGCAGCTCGCTGTCGCTCGGCTCGGCGGGTAGCGGCGCGTCGGAGTCCGGCTCCGCGGCCGCCTGGCTGACGGGCGCTTTGGCAGCCGCGTCGGCAGCCTCGTCGGCAGCCTCGTCGGCAGAGGCAGCGCCTGAGTTGTCCGAGTCGTCCGACAGCTGCAGCTGCTTTGCGGCGCGCGCGGTGGCTTTTTGGTCCAGGTCGTGCACAAAGTTGCGCATCTCGTCGGCCCATTCCGCCAGCGCGCGCGCGCGTCGCGTGGGCTGCAGCTTGCTCGCGGTGCCGGGCCGCGCCGCGCGCAGGTCGCGCTGCTGCTCCTCGAACTTCTCCATTTCGCGCGCGAGTCGCTCGGTGTAGCTGCCCGCGCTGTCGTCGCTCTCGCAGCTCGAGGAGCCGGAGCTGCTGTCTGCGTCGCTGTCCTCCGCGCCGCTCTCGCGCAGCGCGTCGAGCAGCGCCGCGTCGAACACTATGTTCACGTCGGCGTTCCGCGCGTCGAACACCGCCGAAGACTCCTTGTACTTGCGCGAGAGCTTTGCGAACGCGAGTCGTTTCTTGCGTAGCGCGCGCAGCGCCTGCCGCAGCTCGCGTTTGATGTCGCAGTCGAGCTGCGCGTCGTCGAGCTCGAGCTCCGCCTCTGCGATGGCCTCCGCGCTAGGCGCGGCGGGCGGCTCCGCCGCCGCCGCGCTTTCTGCGGCAGCGGGGTACTTCTCGAGCAGTCGCGCGAGCACGGCGCGCCGCCAGTTCATCAGCGCCTTGTGCTCCGCGAACGACAGCAGCTTCAAGTCTGCGCAGAACTCGCGGAGTTCCTCGGTGGTCTCGGGACAGGCGAGCGCGTCGCACGCGAGCTGCGACTCGTCGCGCAGCTCGATCTTGTTGAAGTTCGTCAGAATCTCGGCGGGCCGCGGCGAGAGCAAAAACTGCTGCACGGAGCAGACGCGGTAGGTCGCGCCGTCGTCCTCCGCGTCGCCGTGGCGCCCCGACTTGCGCGAGCGCAGCTGCTTGAGCGAGTGCGCCGCGAGCGCTTCGCGCACGGAGAGCGGCAGCAGACAGTCCGCGATCGCGCCGGGCTGCGCGGCTCCGCCGCTGCCGAAGATGCGCTGCGGCGCAAAGAAGTCGGCTGCGAACTTTTGCGCGCCGCGGTAGCGCAGACAGACGGCGAACGTTTCGGCCGAGACGTCGCGCGACGAGCTCGGCTTCACTACGTGCACCGTCTCGAACAGCTCGCGCAGCAGCTGCACGAGCGCCAGGAAGTCTTGCGAGCGAAAAATCTTGGTGACGAAGGTGCCACTCGGCCGCAGGTAGCGGACGGCGAGCTCGAGCGCTTTCAGCACCAACTCGTTCTGAAGGTACGCGTCGCGCGCCCAGGAAGAGCCGACGTTCGGCGCGCCATCGTGCAGCACGAGCTCCACGCCGCGCCGCGGCACGCCGTGCTCCGCGAGCGCTCCGTCGAGCAGCTTGCGGCACTGCGGCGTGGTGATGTCCGCCTGCAGGCTCGTGCAGCCCGGAATGGGCTTGATGGGACTCAAGTCGACGCCGAAGACGTGTCCCGTCATCGGCAGCGCTTTGCGCGCGACCTGCATCCAGCCGCCGGGCGCGGCGCAGAGGTCGAGCACGTACGCGACGTCACGAAACAGGTCGAGCTTCTGCGCGAGGTGCAGCAGCTTGAAAGCCGAGCGCGCGCGCAGGCCCTGCGCCTTGGCCAAAAAGTAGAAGTGGTCCTTGCGGGCCTTGCCGACCTTGCCCTTCTTGCCCATGCGCGTCGGCGAGAAAAGCCGTAAAAAGAGAGTTATAAAATATTGCAACGCTCGCGCAGCGCGGCAATTATTGTTATGCCCCGCCACGCCAATTCGCGGCGCGGCACCGCGCGCTTCCCGGTCGGCGGCTCGCTGCGCGACGGCTGCGCGGTGCTCAACCGAAGCACGAAGGCTGCCGCGCGGCCGCGCGCCGCGCCGCCGATGCCGCTGAAGAAGCAGCTCGGGCAACATCTGCTCAAGAACCAGGGCATCGTGACGAAGATTTTCGAAGCCGCGCAAATTTCGCCCGCAGACGTGGTGCTCGAAATCGGGCCGGGCACGGGCAACTTGACGATGCGGCTCTGCGCCGCGGCCGCCAAGGTGCGCGCGGTGGAGATCGACAAGCGCATGGCGCTCGAAGTGCAGCGCCGCGCGTTCCGCGAAGGCTACTCTAACCTGGAGGTCGTCACCGCCGATGCGCTGAAGGCGGACTTCGGCCAGTTCCACGTCTGTGCCGCGAACTTGCCCTACCAAATCAGCTCGCCCTTCCTCGCGAAACTCTTCGCGCTGCAGGTCCGTTTTCGCTGCGCCGTGCTGATGTTCCAGAAGGAATTCGGCGAGCGGCTGCTCGCGCAGCCGGGCGAGCCTCACTACTGTCGGCTCTCCGTGAACGCGCAGTTCTTCTGCAAAGTCAGCCGCGTCTGCAACGTCGCGCGCGGCTCGTTCAACCCGCCGCCGAAAGTCGACTCCGTGGTCGTTAAGCTGCAGCCCCTCGGCGCACAGCGCGGAGTGGACTTCGCGCAGTGGGACGCGATGCTGCGCGTGCTCTTCAATCGGAAGCACCGCACGCTGCACGCAGCGCTGACCACGAACAGCGTCGCGAGCGCGCTCTTCGCGCTCTTCGAGCTGCGCGCGCCGCCGGAGGCGCGCGCGCGCGCCGGCGACCTCGCCGCGTTCAAGCAGTACCTTTCCGACGCGCTCGAACAGCTGACCTACCTCAGCAGCGAACAGCTCGCCCGCGACCTCGACTCCGCGCCGGGCGCGGCGAGCCCCGTCTCTTACGCCGGGAAGCGGGCAGCGGAACTCGGGCTGCGCGACTTTCTCGCACTGCTGCAGCACTTAGCGCGCTGGCACATCGCGTTTCCGCCGGCAGCAGGAGCCATGGTGAGTGCATTCGAAGCGCGTAGCGCAGAAGCGGCCGCGTCCTAGCGGCGGCTGCGCAGCGCGTGTCTACTCATTGCTATCTCAATATTTTCTATGCATTTATGCGCCGCCGCAAAGCCGTTCGCGCGTCACTGAACTCTGAACCCGAGTGCAAGGCCTAGTATAACGTTCGGCTGTTGGGACTTATCATCACCGCATTTGGTGAGTACGCGACCGGAACCTTCTGGTCATAGTACGGATTATTTCTGAGAATGATTTCATGCTCGGAGACGTCTTCGAAGGTGTCGAGCAGCGCCAACTGCAGCATACGGGCGTCATCCGATGCGAGGCTCGGCGGCGGCACGACGAAGGCGACGAATTCCCTGGGGGGCGACATTCGCCCCGCGAGAGGCTGTGCAACGCCGCCATGTTCCGGCACTCGGGCCGAGAACGATTCCATCTGTTTGATTAATTCCTTCACTCCTCGCCCCGCGAGAGGCTGTGCAACGCCGCCACGTTTCGGCACTCGGGCCGGAAACGATTGCATCTGTTTGATTAATTCCTTCACTCGCCCCGCGGGGGGCGCGTCCGGCAAAGTGCGAGGCTTCGCGCTTGGCTCCGGCTTTTCATTTGCCTCAGCCTCAAGCTTGAGCCAGTAGTCACGAGCCGGCCAAATCCCTGCGGGGGCGTTGTAATTGCGATTCTTGCTATACTGCAGAATCTCCGAGCGCAGCTCAGCAGCATCTCCTTCGTCACTGGAGATAGACAGGCCCATAGCGACGATAGCCACAAAGTGCGCATCAGTTGTGCGGCAAGTTTGTAGTCTCAACTTCATTATCAAAAAAAAAGTAAAAAGAAATATGCGTTGCGAAAGAACGAATTTTTTTACTCTTTGCTGCCCGTTAGGCATACGGACGCAAAGTCCTTGCTGGCGGAGCTCTTGTTTACACGCAAAATTTTTTTTTGCTTTCAACGCTCCCAGTTATATGCCCCGTAAGCAAAGCGCACTGCCGTATTCCAATTTTTTGCGTCTGTGCAAATCCAATGGCTGACCGTGCGAGTAGCGAAGAGGGCGACGCAAACTCTCTCGAACCGCTGAGCCAGCCGTCCGCTGAGCAAACTTCGCTCTATGCGACAGGCTTATCCAAGTTGCAGTGCGCGAGAACAAGCGGGTTCGGCTTCTCTGCAGCTACTGCATCACGAGCGCAAAACCCGCTGCGGTTTTGGGCAAAAATTATCACTTTAAATTCGCTCATGCTGTAGGATTAGAGTCCAGCGCGTTTTGGGCTGCTCAGGCTTCGTCACTCGCCTGACTCTATCAAAGTTTGCCTCCGAGTTGTGCTAGAAATCGCGATTAACCTTTTTTTTCATGAATTACTATTTAGGTGCGCGTTTACTAAATTCAACGTTTGAAAGAGAAATAGGAAGAGTAAAAGAAACAGTAACTTTTCTGGATTTATCATCATCTTTCTCGTGATATTTAGCATTAGCATTCGTGTTGTCCACACGCTCTTTCCACGCGACCTCGGATTTCGAGCACCATTTGGAATCGGAACCATCAGATTTAAACTTTTTGACGCCATCCGACGTTAGCCCAGCGATTAATGCAAACTGCAAAACTTGCGCACCGGCTGAACGAGAAACTTTCGCAGTCCTTGCAATCTTCATTTGCCAATCTCAAAAAATTAAAACTCTTTTCTTGTATTTTCCGTGTGCGCTGCATGTTTCGAGGTGTGCCGTCGCGCTGTGCTTCCGGGATCGGCGGCGCTCGCGCAAAGCGAGATAAACTCTGTTTATTCTCACTCGCTACTAAAAAATGAGCTACATCCGGTAGGCGGGCGCCGCTTCGAAGCTCTCGGGGAACAGCTCGCGCGTGAGCATGATGAAGTTGATCATGCCTCCAAAATCGTCCGAGTCGTCAGTCGGGGACGGGACCGCTAAAACGGTGTTCGACGCAGGGTCTACAGATATGTCGCTGACGCGTTGCGGCCCGCTGATGCAGTCCAGCACGTTGCGCTTCGCGCAGTCCGACAAAAAGCTTTTGGTCGCCGCGGTCTCGGCCTTCTTGACGTACTTCAAGGCCTTAACTGGATCGCCCTGCCGCGCAATCAGCTTCGCGCGCGCCTTCATAAACTTCGCGCGTGACTTGTCATTGATGCGCCGCTTGTTGTCAACCAACAGATGCGCTTTGCCCGAGGCCGACCTCGACGCACACAGCGTTTCCAGCATGTAGTCGCGCGCCAGCTCGCCAGCCACGCGACGGTACCGCTCCTGCTCTGCCGCTTGGCGCGCCTTGTCTTCGTACTTCATCAGCTTCTTCGCGGTCTTCAACTCCTTTTTGGGGTTCGCCGCCTTCAAGTTGTCGTCCAGCTGCTGCCAGATAGACCGCGAGTCCGTCCAGGTCTGCGCGCGGTCGTCTAAGATTTCGGTGATAACTTTCGCGGACACGCGCTCGCTCGGCAGCGAGCTCGGCACCATAACCGTGTTCCCGCCGGAATTCGAAGTGGAGGGCGCCGCGAACATCGCATACAGCTCGGCGGGAAGTAGAACTTCCTTTGAAGCAGCGGACGGGCGCGGAACCGCGATTCGCATGTTAAATTGTAGAATTAATAAATTGCGGGCCGACAATACTTTCAGCGACTCAATTCACTAGTATTCGGCGCACTCGCTAGCGGAGTCGTCGGCGGCGCAGATGTCGAACTGCGCGTCCGGCGCGAACGGCGTGGGCGGCTCGAGCACTTTTTTGCGCGTGGCGCGTTGCGGGTCCTGCTCCGCGATCGCGGCTTCGTCCCAGCGCACGGTTTTGCGCCGCCCCGCTGCGCTAGACTTTTCCATTCTTTAAAATTAATACAAATCAAAATTCGCCGCGATCAGACAAGCGGCCGCGGGCAGATGCGCGTGGACGAGCCGGAAGGCGTCTGCGAAACGTTCGGCGCGATCCAGCACCCGGCCATGGGGCAGAGCTTCGCGGACGAGTCGGAGCGCTTCTGCGAAGCGTTCACCGTGTTCAGCCTGCAACCGCTTAGCACGCAGCAACGGCTGGTTGCGCAGCTTGCAGCTTTCAGCGCTTCGGCGCAATGGCGCTGCGCGGAAGTGCTGCACTTGCTGCAGTACTTCTTCCTGCAACCGCTGAACCTCGCGCCAGTGAGCGCTGCTGCGGCGCTGACAGACGGCGCCGCGGGCGACAGCGCGGCGGCCGGCACGCCGGCGCCAGCGGAGGCTGACGCGGCGAGCTGCGCGCGCGCGCTGGAGCTCAATTTGTTTGCCTTCGCGGGCCGCGGCGCGCTGCAGCCGAGCAGCTGCGCGGCGCTGCTGCGCGACCCGCGGCTGTACGCCGTCTACAAGAACGTGCAGGACAGCCAAACGCACTGGGTCGCGCACGCGCTGCAGTTTTTGCGCGGACTGCAGGCCGCGGCGACGCCGGCGCCGGCGCGCGCGCTGAGACTTTTCGAGTTTTTGCTCGGCCGCGCCCCGCAGTTTGTCGGCGCAGAACTCGGTGCAGAGCTCTCGCGAACGTTGGCTGCGCTGGCGCGCGCAGCAGCGCGCGGCGAGTTCGCGCTGCAAGTTCGGTTGAAGGCGCGGCTCGCGGTTGAGGTCGCTGCGCAGGACGCCGCGCAAACCGCGGCGCTTTTCAAGACGCTGGTCGCGCTGGCGCAGCTCGAGTCGCCGCCGCGGCCGGCGCCACAGCTCACGCGCTTGCTGCAGGACGCGCGCAGCGGTCGGCGCGACGCGCTCTGTGCGCTCCCGTTCGAATTTTTAGCAGTGCTGCTGCTGCAGCAGATGGCCTTGGTTTCGCGGCCCGCCTGGCTGGCGCGCTACGCGGAGTTCTTGAGCGAGCTGGTTGACGCGCTCTACGCGAACGCGGCGTTCTTCCGCACCGCGGGCGGCGCGCCGCGGCTGCTGCTGCTCTCCGACGCGCCGCCGCGGCTCTTCCACTGGGTGGACGACCTTTGCGTCGAACTCATCGGCCGGCTGCTGCGCGTCGCGCCAGACGACACGGACGCGCAGCTCTCGGCGGTCGTGCTGAAGCTTGCAGTCAAGCTGTTCATGCGTGGGCTGTACGACGCAATGGTCGCTCAGGGGCGCAGCTGCCCCGTTTTCGAGGCGCTGCTGCAGCAGCGCGCCGCAGCGCCCGCGCGCGAGCCCGAAAAGTGCGATGTCTGCCAGATGAGCTGGGAGGACTGGGCGCCGTTGCCGCGCTTCGCGGACTACGGCGCGCTGTTCGAGCTGTGTCGACCGCCGTGCAGCGCGGCGCGGATCGCGCAACCGAACTTTACGCAGTACAGCGAGCACTTCGCGCAGTGGAGCCACGTGTTCGTGGTGAGCAACAAGCACCAATGCTGCCGGCGCCGGACGTTCTTGAGCGCGGCGCTGCCGCTGCTGGCGGAGCTTTACTTGCCGTTCGTCGCGCCCGAGCGAGCGCACGCGATCACGGCGGCCTTTTTCAAGCCCGTCGAGGCCTCGATGTGCGACGCTGCGAGCGTGACGGGCCGGCTCGACAAGTTGCGCGGGCTCATCACGAAGCTGCCGGTGTGCGTGCTCGCGCTCGCGAGTAGTCCCGAGGCACAGCAGTTCGACGCGCTCCAGCACGGCTGCACGGCTGCCGCGCGCGGCCGCGGCGCGTACGACGAGGCGGTCGCTTTCCACCGCGCCGCGCTCGCGTACTGCCTCTCGCTGCTCAGCGGCGACTTGCAGATCAACGGTAAGTGGGCGTGCGCGCTACGCAGTGTTACTTAGCTGCGCCGTGCTAGTCATCGCGCTTTTTTTCAGCGCGCCGTGCGCGGCGTTCGAGGAGTACGTGAAAACCGTGCAGGCGTTCTTCGAGTCGAACTCCGCGGACGTCACCGTAAGCCTGGCGGTGTTGCTCTGCAAGTTCGCGGACGCCGACTTCGCACGGCGGCTGCTGCCGCCAGCGGTCGCGCGCCAGGTCGAGCGCTCGTGGCTGCTGCAGCGCCGCGCGCAGTACTTTGACTTTGCGGCGGTCGGCAAAAAGCTGACGCAACTCGGCAAGGCGTCGGTGCTGTTGCGCATCCCCGGCTGTAGCCCGGTCGAAGTTGCGCGCTGGCGCAGCCGCTGCTGGGCTACGCACCTGGCTCGCCGACTGCGCAGCCTGGTCGGCGACAGCGCGCCGGCGCAGAAGCTGATGTTTCAAGCGTTGCTCAGCAGTTGCGACGACGGGTGTAAGTGGCGCGAGTTTCGCTATAGGCTACGCGGTGCGCTGTTGCGCGGGCAAAGCTGCTAGCGCGTTTCTACAGGAGTCGGGCGTGCGCGCAGCGCTCGAGGAAGAGCTGCGCCGGTTTAGTTTTGCGAAGGAACGGCACCGCCGCCAGCTGCTACTGCAGATGCCGGATGACACTCTCAGGGCGGCTACGGCTCCGTCTCCGGCTCCGGCGTCAGCTGCGGCGCTCGGCGTCCGCTGACGGGCGCGAAAAGAATGCATTCACTAGTGCGCGCGGAAAAACGCTGTATCTATGGGTGCGGAGCAGAAAACACAGTCACTATGGGCGCGCGGCTACACAAACTCCAGATACGGCGCGCGCGGGCAGGCGCCCGGATGCGCGTCCTGCACGACCTCGATCCGCAGCCCTAGCTGGTTGCCGAAATAGTTCTGCAGTTCGCGGTAGTACGCGGCCTCGCTGAACGGCAGCTGCGCGTCTAGCGCGCTCGGGCCCTCCGCAGCGAAGCGCTTCAGGACGAAGGAGAAGAAGGCCATCATGGTTTTCACCGACTCGCCTGCGCCGAACTGCAAGAAGGAGCCGAAGTCCGGTAAGCTCTTCAGCGCGCTCTTGGCGTCCACCAGTTGCTCGGGCGCGGCGCAGTGCACCTCACGCAGCTTCGCGAGTAGCGCGGCGTGGTTGCCTTCGAAGCGTTCCGCGACGTGCACAACGACGGCTTCAATGGGCTGCGCGCCGCGCGACTTCTTCGCCTTCTGCAGCTGCTTCTTCGCGTCCTGCACAAACTCTGTGAGCAGATTCGCCTTGATCAGGAACTCGTCGCGCGCGCCGCCGCCGAAGGTCGGCGTCGGCCAGCGCGCGGCTTCCAGCGGGGCCGGCTCGTGCAAGCACTCGATCCAAATGTGCGAAAGCAGATGCGGACAGATCGGGCTCAGTATCACGCAGAGCGTGCGCAGCCAGTAGCGCAGCGCGGCGGCGCTGACGCCACAGACGTCGTTGCCGGCGAGCTTGAAGCGGTCGCGCAGGTTCAGCATGGCGTAGAAAGCGTTCTTCAGCGCGTCGCGGTATGCGAGCGCGGCGTACGCGCAGCGCGCGCGCTCGGCGAGGTAGTCGACCTGCGCGACAAAGATTTTGTCGAAGGTGGACAGCTCCGCAGCCGGCGTGTGCGGCGCATGCTGCAGCTCTTGCGCCGCGAGCAATAGGTTGTAGAGTTTCATGATCGCGCTTACGGCGGTTTGCCGCTCGAAGTTCGCGTCCTCGCAGGAGTCGCCCGCGTCCGCGAGCGCGACACGCGTCGCGTCCGCGCCGAACTCGCAGACGGAGGCCTCGAGGCTCAAGAAGTTGCCGGTCTGCTTGGACATTTTCGCAGAGTCCAGCATGACGTGCCCGTTCACGAAGAACGAGCTCGGCCACAGGTCGGGCCGCTCCGGCCAGACGGCGGCGTGGTTGTACAAGGACATCACGAGGTGGTTGTTCATCAAGTCTTTGCCGGAGCAGCGCAGGTTCATCGGGTACCAGTACTCGAAGGTGCGGCGCAGCTCGCGCAGCTGCTCGGGGGCGACGCGCGCGCGCGGCAGCTCGTCCGTCTGCAGGAACACGTAGTCGAACACGGCGTTGTCAAACGCCTCCGGCGCGAGGCCGAGCGCGCCGGGCTGCTGGCCGAACATGTCGCCCTGCAGCAGGTGCGCGACGGTGTAGAACGCGTAGTAGATCGTGGAGTCGCTGAGCGATTCGATGTAAATCTTGCGGCCCGCCGCCTCCTCCCACGGCAGCACGGTGCCCAGCCCGTAGGTGCGGCTGCAGGCCCAGCCGCCGAGCCAGTTGACGACGCGCGCATAGCCCGCGCGCTGCCCGTGCGCGTCGAAACGCTGCGGGTCGAGCACGTGCGCGAGCACGGCGGCCTTCCAGTCGGGCGCGCCGTAGTCGATGTACCATTGGTTGCAGCTGGCGACCACGCAAAAGTCGCCGGAGCGGCTGAGCACGGGCTTCGGCGTGTCGTAGAACGCGAAGCTGTCGTAGCGCTCGAGCAGCGCGGTTTGCCGCGCGGGCAGCTCGAACGCACTGAGCTCCTCGGCGGCGTAGACGGGGAACACGCCCGAGCCGTCGCAGTTGGTCTTCTCGTTCGCGACGCGGCGCAGCGCGAGCGTCACCGGCGGCGCGCCAGGCTGCGCGGCGGGCAGCGCGCAGCGCAGCCCGTCGAGCGCGGCGGCGTCGAACTCGCCGAGGCAGAATGGCTCGCCGGCTTCGTCGCGCGCGTCAGGCAGGTAGCCCTGGTAGCGCAGGTTCTCGGCGCAGCGGCGGGAGCAGACGTAGACGCAGTCGCAAATCTCTGCCGCGCGCGCGACGGAGACGCGCGCGTAGGCGACGAACGCGTCGACCTCCGGCGCGCCCGGCGCGAGTGGCGTCGCGAAGCCGAAGTACGCGCCGAGCGGGTCGCACTCGAAAACGTTCGCCGGCAGCGGCGCCGCGAGGTCTGCGCAGTCGGCGGGCAGCGGCGCCAGCAAGAAGACGGGCGGCAGCGGTAGCTTCTGCGCGGCGCAGAGCTTGCGCAGCGCGTCGAAAAGCAGCCCATCGCGCAGCGGGAAGCGTCCGAGCACGCTGAGCTGCGGCGTGACGCCCTCGCCGGCGGCTCGGTCGTGGTCCGCGCAGGGCTGGTGCTCGACGCGCGAGAAGACCGCGGGCCGCTGGCCAAACTTGATACGGTTGCGCTTGCGCAGCACGTAGAACTGCCACTTGACGAAGCGGTCGTAGTACGGGTTGTACTCGGTGGTGATGAACGAGCGGCGCCAGTCGACCGCGAGCCCGAGCAGCTGCAAATCTTGCCGGCCGAAGGGCGGGAAGTAGCGCAGCCAGTGCAGCGGGTCTGCGAAGCGCGGGACCTCGTCGAGCGGCACGCCGAGTTGCAGCAGAATCTCGCTCTGGTGTCGCGCGGCGCCGGTTTTCGCGGCGACCTTGCTCTTCGCGGCCTTGCCTTCGCGCGGCGCCGCAGCCGGCGCAGCGCAGAGCTGGACCGCGCCGTCCTCGACGCGCAGCACGCCGTCCGCAAGCTCATTGCGGATCTTGTCTGCGCTCGCGGCGATCGGCATGCCGGTGCAGTGGAACGCGAAGGGGAACAGCACGTTCTCGCCGAGCAGCCGGTGGAAGCGCGTGGCGAACTCGCACTTCGAGAGGCTGAAGGCGTGGCCGAGGTGCAGCCGGCCGTTCATGTAGGGGTAGGGGAACGTGATGAAGAACTTCGCGCGCGCGGCGTCGCACTCCGCCTCGAAGCAGCGGGCACTCGCCCAGCGCGCCTGCGCCTCGCGTTCGAGCCCGCGCAGCAACTCCAGTCGCTTATTACTCATCAAAAAAAGCAAAAATACATTAAGCTAGCCCGCAGCGTTCTCTTGTTCGGCGCGCCGCGCGAACTCGAGTTTCTCAGCGTCGCTGAAGCTCTTCCACTTCGCGCCGGCCTCCCTCATGCTCAGCAGCGGTTGCTCCTTTTTGGCCTCGCGGAAGAAGACGAGGTACGCGGTGAGCCGCTTGCGCCGCGGCGGGCCGAGCGACTGCGCGCGGAACTTCTTCATGCGTCGCGCCATCAGCTCGACCACGCGCGGTGCGACAAAGGGCATCAGCACCTGTTTCTGTTCCTCGAGCACGGCGAGCTGCATGCAGAGCGCAATGTAGCTGCTCGTCGCCGCGACGTTGTCCTTGTTGAACAGCAGGTCGAGCTCGCCGACCTCGCTCGCGAGCGCGTCGGAGAGCGCGTCGGAGAGCGCGCCGCTTTCGAACTTCGGCTTTTTGCGCGGCGTCTCGGCGCCCGCGCTCGCTCCGGCCTCCTTCAGCTGCTTGCGCATCTGCTTCTTGAGCAGCTTGCGCAACTTGCGCGACTCGCGCGGGTCTTCGGTCACCTCGGGCAGCGGCGCGTCCGCAACGTCCGCGGCGCTTAGCGAGTCGGTCCCCGGATTGAACATGTGCAAGGCGATTTTCCTTTAAAGCAGTGCTTTTTTTTATATAGCAATTTACGGCGGTTTTGCCTCTGCACACGAGCGGCGTTGGCGCGCCGGCGGCTCGAATTACGGCGCAATTAATTAATTTTCGCGATCTCGCCGCAGCGCCGATGCTCAACTCGCTGTACAAGAGTGTGGTGGACCGCGTGCAGAAGTGGCAGGCGACGCAGTAAGTGCGCGACGGAGGCACGCAGCGCGGGCTCGAGCAACCCGGTTGCCGCGTTCGTGCACGAACTCGCGAACCCGTACTCGGCGTCGATCAGCACGGCGAAGGTGCGCCGGCTGGCGATCGCGTGCAACGAAGAGTAAGTGGCGAGGCGGCCGGCGCAGCGCAGTGTACCAGTACGTGTCGAAGGCCGTGTGGAAGTCGCTGACGGCGAACGCGCACCAGTGGATGCGCGCGGGGAAGGCAATGAAAATGCTGTACTACCTGTTTCTGCTGGGTCCGCCGCAGGCGCGCGCGGAGTGCGAGCACAACGTGCTGACGCTACGGAACTTCACGGCGTTCCGGCGCGAGCACGAAGGCCGCGAGGTCGGCGCGGAGATTCGCGCGACGGCGCAGAAGCTGTTGGATTTTTTGGCGTCGCCGGCGGCGCTGGCCGAGGAGCAAGAGCGGCTCGCGCGGATCGTGCGGCTGGACCCTCAGCAGTACCAAACGAACGAGTTCACGCAAATTTTGCCGCACCAGCTGCTGGAGATCGCGGCGCGGCCGCGCAGCGCGGCGCCGTACACGCAGAACACGCGCGACTTCTTGCCGAGCGCGGCGGCGGCAGCGCCTGCGAGCGCGTCCGCGACCGCGACGGCGCCCGCGCGCATTGGCTACGACAGTTGTCGGCTCGAGTTCCTCGACGCGGCGGCGCCCGAGCCGGAGCCTTTAACGGAAAGCGCCGCGCCGCCGCTCCCGCCGACAACTGCGGCGCGCGCACCGAGCCTAGACGACCTGTTCCGCTAGCTGCTCTGCCCGCGTTGCGTGCTCGACGCGCAACTCGTGGCTCGCTTATCAGTTCGCTTATCAGTTCGCTTATCAGCTCATTCATCAGTGCGCGCAGCGTGGGCCCAGCGGCGCGCCGAGCGGCTCGTTCATCGGCTGGCCCATCGGCTGGCCCATCGGCTGGCCCATCGGCTGGCCCATCGGCTCTCCCATTGGCTCGTCCAGCGACGCTTCTGCAGCCGCGGCCGAAGCGGCGGCCGCCGGCAGCGCCGCCCAGTCGATTTGGAACTTGGTCACGCGCGGCTGGTCGACGACCACGAAGCGCTGCATTGCGTCGAGCTGCGGTTCATCTGGCGGGTCGTTCTCCAGCGCCGCGTCCAAGTACGAGTTGTGCACGAACCAGCCCACGCGCGTGAACTCTTGCCCGCGGTAACTCACTTCGAGCAGCACCACCGTACAGCCGTGCACGTACTCGCGATCCACGCGCGCGAAGTCCGGCGCCGCGGCCTCGAACGTGAACTTCATCGTGCCGCGCTGCAGCGGGCCCAGTTCGAAACTCTCCAGCGACACGTCAAACTCTTTGCTGTCCGGCGAGCCCACGTACAGCAGCTGCCACTGCAGCGGCGCGGGCACGTCCTCGTGCGCGCGGAAGGTGACCTCGAACACGAACGGCGTGTCCAGCGGCGCCGGGTTCGCGTTCTTCAGTTCCACGTTGATGATGGAGACGAGCGCCATCGCAAATAAAAAGCGGAAATCGCAATTTTCGGCGAGCGCCGCGAAATTCGCCTGCCAATTTCTTATTATTTTCGAAATTTGATCAGCTCGCGATGCGCTCCGATCTGCTCGCCGCGCAGCCCGCGCGCAAGCCGCCGAGCGCCGCGCCCGCGCGCGTCGTTTGCTACGGCACGCTGATCGCCGATCGCCCGCGCAAAGGCAAGTTGCTGCTCTCGCGCGAAACCCTCGACTTCGCGCCGCGTCGCGGCTTCTGCGGCGCGCGCGCCGCGCCGCTCTGCTTCGACCTCGCGGATGTCACGCGGGTGCAGCTGATCCGCGCGAGCGCGCACGGGAGGCCGCTGCTGCGCTTCGAAACGCGCGACGCGCAAAGCTACCTCTTCAAGCCGCTCTTCTCGCTGCAGAAGTTGCTCGCGCACTTCACGCGTTACGTGCGCTGGACGGTCTTCGAGCGACAGCTGCGTCAGCCACGGCCGCCACGCGCCTTCTTCGCGCAGAGCGCGCGCGCGAGCTCCGCGCCGGGCAGCGGCATCGAGCAGTTCCTGAACTGCAGCCTGTGCGACGCGCTCGCGCAGCCCGGCGACGCGACCTCGACGCTCGCGATCTTCCAGTTCGAGCTTGCCGACTTCGAAACTGCGCTGCGCCGTGCTGCGCCAGAGGCCGCGCGCGCGCAGTGCGCGGGCACGAGCAACCTCGCGGTGCAACTGCAACTGCCGCTGAACTTCCGCACGGTCGCGGACGCGCTGCTGCCCGGCAGCCGCGACACACCCGACCTTCGCGCCTCGCTGCTCGACCGCCACGCCGCGCGCTTCACCTGCGCCGACGTGCGCTTCGCGCCCTTCAAGATGCTCAACGCTGATATTTTCGCACGCGAACTCACCTACCCGACCGAGCTTACCTCCACGTTGCTAAAGGTGCTGCAGACCAATGAGTCCTACGTGCTCGAGCACGACGAGCAGCTGCTGGTGCTCGACCGTGCGGAAAAACGCATCGTGTTCTTCACGGACCGCAAGGTCTGCTCCTACGCCATGAAAGCGCCGTACAACGTGAAGACCGTCACGCAGATGCGCTTCTACGAGAGCGGCGCGACCGTCGAGGCGACGGCGATTCTCTCGTGGGCCTGGACGGACGTGGTGCTCTCGTCGGTCGAGGCGGACCTCGAGCAGCTCTGGCGGCGCAGACTCAACGCGTTCGTCGAAGAGCTCTATCTCAGCAGTGTCGAGCACGGCGCGTCCGAAATCGCGCTGCTGCCGGCGGGCGGCGCACAGCTCGAGCAGCTCGTCGACACGCTCGAAGAGCGCAGCGAGAGCGCCGCGGCGCCAGCGGACGACATGCCCGACTCCGCGGACGCGCAGGCCAAGCTCGCCGCAGAAGACGCCGGGGAGGACTTCTCTGTTACGAAGGCAGCTGACGGCTCGCCGAGCGCCGAGAGCGCGTACGTCAGTCTCTCGCTCGCAGCTCAATTCTGCGCTTCGAAGGCCGACTACGTTGACGCCTCCGCGCCACCGACGGAGTCGCGCGAAGCGCAGCTCTCCGCAGCCAACGCCAGCGCGTCCAACGCCAGCGCGGCCAACGCCAGCGCGTCCAACGCCAGCGCGTCCAACGCCAGCGCGTCCAACGCCAGCGCGTCCAACGGCAGTGCGGTCAATTCCAGTGTGGTCAGCGCTAGTGCAACCAATTCCAGCGCCGCCGACGCCAGTGCGGTAATTGCCACTGCGGCCAAAGCCAGCGTCGCCGATGCTTCGGAGCCGCCGAGCGCGCTGAGTCCGAACCCGAGCGTTTCCGCACCGCCACCTGAGTCGCTCGAGCAGTGCGTTTGCGTGGCAGTACCCGGCATTGGCGGTACTCCCGTGCGGCCGATCGAGTCGCTCGAGCCGCGAATTTCGTGGACTTGGGCGGAAAAGCGGATGCGTAGTTTATCGCTCCACAGCCCGATTTTGAACTCGAGCGCTGCCGTGCCTTCGCCCAACCGCTCCGAGTCGGTCACTTCGCAGCTCTGCGCAGCCAGGGACTGCACCGATGACGTTTCAGCGCCAACCGAGTCGCCCACGTCAAACCGTACCCTCCTGCTACAAGACTACAAAGTAAAGCTCGTCGACAAAGCCTCGACCCCCGCAGTGCGCCTGCGTGCCCCGATCGGCGTGCAGCAGCTGGACCGCTACAACCGAGTCTGGACATAGCCGCGCACACGCCCACTGCGTTCGCTCTCGCAACATCATTGGTCCGAGTTTTGCCGTCCCGCTCCTCGGCGCCGCCTTTTCCGTGCGGACTTCACACGCCCCAACCTGAGCCCAAGCGAAACCGCTGTAGCGCAGCGACCAGCGCGTGAATCCGTCGTTCTCGCGAGATCGGAAAATATGAACTTTTGTGTGGCAAAGTCCGCGCATGTTCTCGCAAGACCGCGGATCTTTTTTTTTGCTACTCGCTGTCGCGCTCTCCAAGCAAAAACCGCTTGCCCAGTCTAACCCAACGCGAAACTATTTGAAAACAGAACCTCGCACGTGTTCCTCCGCTCTCGCGAGATCGTCAAATCTTTTTTTTTGTCTTGCTACTCGCTGTCGCGCTCTCCAAGCAAAAACCGCTCGCCCAGTCTAAACCGACGCGGAACCGCTTAATAGCAGCGACTCATACGTGCTGCCTTACTCTCACGAAACTCTCCCGCTCCCGTCTTCTTTCACTCTGCTGTTCGCTTAGGTTTTTTTCCAAACGGAAAGAATACGTCCCAGCATGAGCTCAAGCAGAAACCGCTTTTTCAAAACGGTCCTCGTGCAGTTCCACTTCTTTAGTAAAAGCGCTGGCCGCTGCACTTTCCGCAACAGTCTATTGCCGCGCCAACTTCTCGGCTCCGCGAAAGTCCGCGCGGCACAGTTCCTGCGAGTTTAGTTTTCCAAAAGCAAATTATTTTGGTTTCCGCCTTTACCGACCGGCGAGCCGAAGCCGATTTGCGATCCTCCTTTGAATAATGTGATCAGCTGAAACCGTTATATAAAAAAAATGGCTAGGTCTCGCTCGGCGAGCTGCCCGGCAGAATGGTCAATTTTCGCGAACCATCTATCGCGGTTTGAACAGTAGCTCGCGTAGACTTACCACGGCTCGGCGCATCAGCGAGGGCCGAAGCGCAACCGCGCAAATACGGTCGCTTCGCGCTCGGGCCAGCGAATGTGGATGCAATATCGCTCTGCACTGCTCCAGCTACTTCGCGAAATTTTGCAAAGCAACGCGAGTACGGCGGCGCGCATTTATCCGCGAAGCATGCGACCTGTTTGTGGCGAGAAAAAGTGCGGTGCGGCCAGCACTTGCGGTGCAAAGTTGAAAAAGATGTACCAAACGAGCGAGTGCGGCGAAAGATCTCGCGAGACACAATAGGATGTCTTACAAGATCTCACGAGACAGGATACGGCCGACTAGCCTTTAGCAAGGTGCACGGACTCGATGCAGACGATGCCGCGCTCAATCAGCGCAAGTGCGGCCTCAAACAGCTGCTGCTGCTCCGCATTCTGCAGCGCGGTCGCTACAAGCTGCAGCTTTTTACAAACCTCGATGGTCATCAGCAGGTAACGAATGATCGTGCCCTCGTCGAGCTCGGAGTACGCAAGCAACTCGATGAACTGCGCGCCGCGCGCCCACATGTAGGTCGCGTCGACCAGCGTCACGTTGCAGAGCGCAGACCACTCGTCGGTGTCCAGTGTGAAGTGGCGCGTCGCGAGCAGCGTGCCGATTTCACTATGCAGCGCGCAGATTCGCGCGACGGCTGCGTAGAGAGTGTCCGGCGCGGCGGCGAGCTGCGCGAGTGCGCAGCGATTCCCGACGCCGCAGAACATCGAGGCCACCGCCGCGGCCTCGGCGGGCGTCAGCCCCTCGAAACAGTTCTCAAAGTAGGCCTGCGCGAGCGTGATCTCGTTGGTAGAGCAGAGCTCGATGGCCATGCGGCCCTTCTGCGTCGGGATGCCCTCCGCGTCGAGGTAGCCGAGTTGCGCAAGGACATCTTGCGCGTTGGTGTAGTGCGCGAGCAGCTGCAGTCCTTGCGGCGAGAGCGTGCGTCTTACGGCCTCCGCCTCCTGCTCTTTGAAGCAAAGTTGCAGCTCGTAGAACACGTCCGTCGCGAGTTCCGCGTCATCGAAGACGCCGCTCGCCTCGAGCTCCGACCAGCAGCGAACGTATTCAGTTGCGTGCTGTGCGACGTGCAGCGGGACGGGCAGCGAACTTGTCCGCAGAAACGGCTGCGCGCGCTCGAACAGCGGTGCCGCGCGCTCGAGCATCGCCGCGAAGTCCACGTCGTAGCCGTTGTCGTTGCCGGCTAAGCGCGCGGCGCTTTCGGGCGCCGGCCCGCCGCCGAGGTAGCGGCCTGCGGCGGGCGTCTCGAAGTTGAAGATCAGCGCGGAGATGTCGACTGCCTTTGCGCGCTTCTCGGACTTCGCCGAATTGTCTGGCCCGCGCATCGCATTCTGGTCGAGCACCGCGAGCACCGGCGCGAGCGTCGCGAGCTGCACGAGGTATGCGTGCTCGATGGGGGCGCCAAACAACTCTAGCCCTCGCGGCACAAGCACATGTTCGCATAGCTCGAGCTCCGCGTCGAAGCGCGGCGCGGGCTGCGCAGCCGTCCGCAGCAGTAGCGCGCGGTACGGCGCACGCGGCGCCTCGCTCACCAGCACCGTTGAGTACAGCGTCAGAGCCTCGTGCAGCTGCAGCAGAGCTAGCAGCTGTCCGCGCCGGAACACGACCTCGCCGAGTTTGCTCTGCTCCAGTGCCACGTTGGCACAGGCCGCTACTGAGCGCGCGCGTAGCAGCATCTCTGCGAGTTCGCGCGCGTGCGCGTAGCTGCTACCCGGGCGCCGGCGTGCCTTCAGCTCCGCGGTCTGCTCCGCGAGCTCGCGCAGCCGCTTCTTCGTGAACGGCAGCTCCGCGAGGCGCACGGACATCACGTACGAGCGCGTGAGCAAGTCTTCCGGCTTTGTGCCGCAACGTGCCTGGATTTGCAATACCATGTTCAGCGTGATACGGAACATCGAGCCCAGTCTGTTTTTCTGTTTCGCTAGCACTGCGGCCACCTGATTCGAGTCGATCGGCTGCCGATCCACGCAGAGAATATACACGAAGCCCCTCGTGTCGATTCCGCGCCGGCCTGCACGACCTGCGATCTGCAAGTACTCGTTCGGCTTCAATAGACCCATAGAGTCGTTCGAGGGCTTCTGCAGCCCGTTCAGCGCGACCGCGCGCACTGGCATGTTTATGCCCACTGCAAAGGTCTCCGTCGCGAACACCACCAAAATCAGCTTCTTGATGATTAGGAGCTCCACGCAGTCCTTCAAGATCGGAATCATCCCGCTGTGGTGCAGCGCGACGCCCTGCTCGAGCGTCACGCGCAGCAGCGTGACCTGTGGCAACGCCTGGTCCTCCGGCGAAAGCGTTTGCACCAGTTGGTTGAACAGCTGCAGCGCCTTCGCCTTGCTCTCGCGCGGGTAGGACAGCGGCCCGCGCACGTCTTTCGCCAAATTCTCGACCTTGCGCCGGCTAAAGCAGAAGATCACTGCCGGCAGCCGGTCCGACTTGTCGAGGAAGTTCACGAACTGCTGCACCACCAGCTTCTCGGTCTTGGCGTAACTGACACTCAGTGACTTCTTAAAGTTGGTCTTCGTCTTGCCCTTCAGCTCCTTCTCTTCTTGCGCGCGACGCTGCTCCGCCGCGATCTGCCGGTATGCGTCTAGAGTGAACTCCTCGCGCTCGTTCTGCAGCAGATACTCTTTGTTGTTGTAAAACAAGTAGTGTTGCAACGGCACCGCACGCGTCTCCGTGCCTATTACGAAGACCTCGCGCTGCTTCACGCAGCCGACCCAGTTCGCGAAGTCCACGCGGTTGTCCACGGTCGCCGAGAGCAGCACCAGCGAGCAGTGCGCCGGCGCAAGAATGATACTCTCTTCCCAGACGAACCCGCGCTCGTAGTTGCTGATATAGTGCACCTCGTCGAAAATGATGCAACCGACCTGGCTCAAGCACTCGTCGCCTTTGTACAGCAGATTGCGCAGAATCTCGGTGGTCATGATGATGCACTGCGCGGCGCGGTTCTTGACGACTTCGCCCGTGATGATTCCGATGTCGCCGTAGAGCGCCTGAAACTCGCGGAACTTCTGGTTGCTTAGCGCCTTCAACGGTGAAGTGTAGATCACGCGCTGCCCGCGCTGCTTGTAATAGTTCACGGCGTATTCTGCGACAGTTGTCTTTCCGGAGCCGGTGTGCGCGCAAACCAAAATGTTCTGGCGGCGGTGGATCCGCACGATCGACTGCTTCTGGAAAGTGTCGAGCTCGTACGCAAATGTCTGCGCGAGCTCTTCGTCGAGCAGCGCCTCTGGGAAGCCAGAGACGTCCATATCGTCGCAGACCGCCCACTGCGCGCGGATCGCGGGCTGCGCCCCGCGCTTGTGCTCCTCGTGAACAACGTGCGCGGCTGCAGCTGCGCCCACGTCGCAGCCGGGATGCGGCTCGAGCGCTGCGTACGAGAGCTTCTGCAGTTGCTCGTCTACGGCGCTAAACTGCTCGTGGCGCGCACACTTCTGAAACTCCAGCACCGGCACCGGCTCGATGTCTTCTTCCACTGCTGGTTGCCAGAACACGGAGCGGCGCGACGGAGCTTCCATTGCGGCCGATAATCGCGCGCAATTAATTAATAGTAATCGCGAAATGCCGCCTACCGCTTTTTCGCAAAGTGCTGCGCCAGCCGCGCAGCCTTGAAGTAAGAGTCCGCCGGGGTTTCTCCGTCGGACTCGCCGCCGAAGCCGCCGACCGATGTCTCCGAGTTGCTGCTTGCATCGCTGTCGAACGCCACGAACTGGTCTAGCTTTTTCGCCAATAATGTTTCGCTTGTCGAGACGTCCTCGAGCACCGGCTCGCTGTACAGCTTGTCCAGCGTGCGCAACGAGTTGCGCATCTTCAATCGCTGTCGCGCGAGGTACTCCGTATAGCTACTGCTGCGTTGCTGCACGACTAGCGCGCAGTCGAGACAGTAGCCAAAGTTGTGCTGGTAAAGCGCCACAGCTAGCGCGATTGCTACGCAGTCGAGCTTATGTAGGAATTGCGAGATGCTCGCCGCGACGTGATTCACGTCCGCGGTGCTGAAGCGTGCCGAGAAGAACTTCATGGTTGCTAGCAGTTCCTGCTTATCCGCGTCGCGCGCTGGCTCTGCGGACGCGCGCTCCATACCGGAGGGCACGAACGCGTCGAGACACGCCTTCGCCTCCGTGTTCTCGCGCCGCTGCAGCAAATCCAGCACGTGAAACAGTAGCTTGTCCGCGCCGCTGATCACGCGGCAGCCGAGCTTCGCTAGCACGTGACTCAGCGCGCGACTCGTCAAGTGTTCGCTGATCTGCTGCAGCTCGCGCTCAGTCAGCGCCGCATCCGTAACTGCACCTTTGTCTAGCTCGCTGAGCAAGAGCGTCAGCAGCGTTGGACCCGTCGCGTCCGCCGCGAAGAACTCGAAGTTATCGAGCGCTGCCACGGGCGGATACGGCTCGTCTGCGCACGCTCGCAGCTCTGCGAAAAACTTGTCAGTTGAGATCTTCACCAGCGGCTTATACGTGTTCTGCGGCGTGACGACCACGGTCACCTGGTCCACGAAGCCCAGCGACGCGACCGTTTTCACGCGCAGCTGCAGCGTCGGCACCGCCTCGAGCGCGAGCGGCTCGGGCCCGACGAAGTACACCGAGTTGTGTTTAGGAGAGAATACCAGCGTGACGTCCGGCGCGATCTGCTCGACCGCGAGCCACAGCGTCTTGCCGCTGCGGAACTGCTGCGCGCCGACGACGTACACGCGCCGCTTGAGTGCGAGCGCCGCCGTTGCGCACAGTAGACAGAGCGACAGCGCGTTCGCCGCGCCCAGCCGCAAACAAGAGTCCGCGTCCAGCACAACCTTGCTGCTGTTTATGCGGAGACTGACCAGCCGCGCCGCATCGTACAGCTGCAGCGGCGCGTCACCCGGGCGCAGCTGCAGCAGCCGCGGCAGCAGCTCGGGGTGCTGCGAGTGCAGCAACTTGTGAAGCGGCACGCGTTCGCCGCGCAACGTTTTGAATCGGAGCTCGTCCAGCGGCGAAGCTACGCGAGCGTCGCGCTCGAATCTCGGCGTGATGTCCGTGAGCGGCGGCAGCATGTGCTTAAACGCGCCCTCGAATTGCGGCATGTTCACCGTTTTGACCAGTAGTGTGACCGTAGTCGCGCGCGCGTTCGTTTTGCTCGCCGCGTTGTGCAGCTCGAGCTTCTTCGACAAGCCCGCTTGCGGAATGCTTAGCAGGTTGCTGATCGGCGTCACGCAGAAACCGATATGTGCCAGCGGAAAGTGTAGTGCGTCGCGAATCTCCGTTTTCGAAAGGTCCAGCCAACTCAGCGGCTTGTAGAGGTCGATCATCAGACAGAATTTGTCCAGGTACGCGTGCAGCTCTTGCACTGATCGGCCGCCCAGTGAGCACAAGATCTTTTCGTCGCCGTTGTAGCCTTTTTTGTAGAGGTCGAGTAGCTTGAGGTTGTAGTCTTGCCAGTGCTTTTCGTTATCCACGAAAAAGCGTTCGAACAGGTAGTTCAGCGTGATGTGGCACGCACCGTCGTTTGCGCCGCTCACGCAGACAATCTCTTCGTTCGTCTCGCGGTTGAACAGGCAGTAGCTAACGCTGTGCTGGCCGAAGTCGCTGTTCTCCACCGTCACGTCAATCAGCTGCAGCGTCAGCTTCACGGAAGTCAGCGAATCGTAGTGCGACCAGTCGTTGGCTTGCTGCACGCTAGGCCGGCCAGCGACGCAGAGCACAGCGCTCAGCTGGCCAAGCGGTTCGCCGTTGCAAACGACTGCGTGGTTCTTGACGCTTTCGAGCCAGCGCTGGTTTAGTAGGTTGAAGCGTACTGGAATGTCCGCAAGTTGCTCGCGTTTCTGCTGCCCAAGCCGCAACAGCCGCAGTCGGAAGCCGCAGCGGTACAAGTCGGTGATCGTGCCGTAGATCGTGACGTGTTTGAGTTGCGTCGGGAACAGCACGCCTTGGCGATCGTCCGCAACCCTCTCGAACTGTCGATGCTCTTCGAGCAGCTCAGCGATTTCGTCGCGCGGCGCGTACTGCTGCAGCCGCGGGTTGCCGCGCGCGTAGGGTGCAGCAGCTGCGAGCTGCAGCGCTGTGCATTCCGGCAGCAGTCGTGCCTCTGCCTCTTCGGCGCTGGGCCGCGCGTTAGCTACGCGGTCCGTGCTGATTGCAAAGTGCGGCGACATGAGCGAGCGGTTGCAGCGGTAAGAGAGCTCGACGGCGAGATCTTGATTGGCTTCGAGCGAGGCGTTGTTCGCGAGTACAAAGTGCGACGCGAAGACGTACAGTCGGAAGTAAGTGAGCTGCTCAAACGTGAATTTGAAGTCCACGCGGAACAGAATTTCGCCGAGCGCGTTCATAAGGTTCAGCGACAGTTTCGACCGACCCACCGCGACTGTGCCCAGCGAGATGGCGCTCTCCGCGGTCTTGATAAAGCTCAGCGCGGAGACGCTGCTCCACAGCGTCACGCGCAAGTTTTCTTGCTGCAGGTTGCGCAGCGGTCCGCGCCAGTCGAATGCAGGCGCGCAGTGGAAGCGCTTTTGCGCATTGCACTCGACGTAGTGCACCTCGGTATCGTAGCTGCAACCCTTGTGTCCGACCTGCACGATTCGGTACGTGTCTTTTCTGCGCTTCGGCTGTAAGTAGCTGAACGCAGAGCCGCCGAGCTGAAACTCGAGGAAGTAGAAGGCATGAGGTCCGAGGTTGGTCGCCTCGATTTCGCTGACTCCGGCGGTGAATAAATAGTAAGGAGCGCAGTCCGCGTCCTTTGCTTGCTTCGCGGCCAGTACGGCTTTCAACTCTGCTGCCTGATCCTCGTTCAGAATAGGCAGGTGTGAGTGCGTGAAGCTCTGCGAGCGCAAGTTCAGCGCTGTGCGGAAGACGTAGAAGAAACCCTGCAGGTGCGCGTTGGAAACGGTTGCGCGGAGCGCGCGCTTTGTAAAGCTGAAGGTCCTGCCAATCGCGTTGCGGACGCTGCTAAAGAAGCTGGCTGGCGGCGGCTGCTCGTCTTCCGTGGCGGCGGCCGCGCTTTCCTCGGTCGGGCGCACGTCCGCGCGAACTATGAACTGCTCACCGAGCTGCTTCGCGCTGTCTATTGCGCTGCTAAGGATCGGCAGCGCTGCAGCAGCTTTCATTTTTTTGGTGCAGTCGCGGGTGAATTAGAAATGGGGCCGGCACGCGACGACCACTACATTTGCGGCTGTTCTTGTTTGACCAGCGGCGGACTGGCTTCTGACGGCAGCAACTTCACCTTTTTCTCCGGCGGCGCGGACGCGGGCGCAGAATCAGCGTCCTGCTTCATCGCGAGCGGCGAACCGAACTGAGCGCCGAGCAGCCCGTTTTGCACCAAGCTGTCGTAGACAGCGATGCACTCTTTGATACTCTCGCTACTGAGCAGCATCTTGTCGCGGTTCTTGAGGATGATGTCTTTGGTGATGCCGCGAAACTTGTCGATGATTTCTTGCTGCTTTGCGGCGTTGTCTTCGTTGCCAGCCGCGAGACTGAAAATCTGCGGGTACGTGCCAAGAATTTGTAGGGCGCGGTCAGGGCGACAGCAGTGGTAGATATTCATGAGGTTTTGCAACATGCAGTAGCGCTTGATGAACGCCTGCTTGACAGCCTCGTTTTTGTTTTGCACGGAAGCCAGCAGCAAGTGGCACATGCGGATGTACTGCTGCTCTCTCGCTTCGACGTCCGTGCAGAAGAACTCGCTGCACGGCAGCGGCTCTAGCGTCTCGCGAGTGCTCGCGAGCACGCCGTCAATTGTAGTCTGACTCGGTGTGCAGAAGCAGATTTCGTCGTGCGTCTCGTTGACCACGCAGTGCAGCCGGAAATCGTCTTTCGCAGGCGGCGGAATTTTCGAAATGTCAACCACGTTGTCGTTGTAGAGCTTCAAGTAGTGCTTCAGCTCGAGCTGCTTTTCTTCGGGGTCGTGGAAGGTGATGCGGCAGACAATTTCGAACTCGCCCCAGCCGTACTCGGTGAAGTGGAAGTGCTTCGTGTTCTCGAAGACGCGGTGGTTGTCGAGAAAAGAGGGGTGCAGAATGAACACTACGCGACGGATCAACTGGCTCAGGTCCTCCGCAGCATTACGCGCGCGCAGCACGCACGTCCACTCGTGTGTTGCGCCCTTCATCGCATTGCGCCGCTCCAGCGGCAGCATGAACGCGTACGTCCCTAGCACTATCTTCTTGCGAACTTCCATGCTCGGCAGAGCGCAGCGCCATCGATTATGTTATTTTTTTAAAAAACCGGTGACGCGAGCAGCGCGCCGGAACTTTGGCGCGAAGGTCCCATGCTGCCGCGGAGCTGCTGGCTGGGCCGCGCCGCGTTCGACACGAGCCTCGGGCCGAAGGTCGAAGAGTACATCGGCGAACCGCTGAGCGCTGCCGCGTTGGAAACTGTCGCCTGTAAGTCGCTCTTTGGTACCGCGGACGCGCAAGTAGTGCACTTCGCGCTGCGCGCAGACGAGCGCTGGCTGCGCGGGCTCGCGTACTTCTCCGCGCGGCCGGACGTGGATGCGGCCCGCGGGCGGCGGCTGCAGTCCTTTTTTCTGCTGGCGACAGACGAGCCGAACGCGGCGGTCGGCACAGCGCTATTCTCGGTCCTCTCTGCCTTGCCGCGCGTCGCGCAACCGCAGCTCGAGAAGGCGCTGCAGCTTTACGTCGAGGCAATCGGGCTCGCAGAGAGTCGCGAGCAGCCGACGCTGCTGCTCGCGAAAGACTCCGCTGGCGAGTTGCATCTGCGCTGCACGCTCGTTCCGCCCACGTTTGAAGCGCAGCGCATGGCCGAGCTGATTCTGAAGGTCGAGCTGTGCACCGCGCCGCGCGGCGCCGCGCAGCCAATGAGCGCAGCGCTCGCGAAGGTTTTCGACCCCCATGAGACCGTTAACGCGTACGCGGTGCTCCGCCAGTTGTTCCGCAGGAGCCAGTCCGCGTTCGCCGTGCCGCACGCCGAGTTCCGTCCGGGCACCGGGGGCGACGCGCTGTGCAGCGCGCAGTTCGAGTTTCGTTTCGCGACGCCCGACGCCCTGGTCTCGCTGGACGCCAGCGAGCTCTACCTCGAGCCGGTGCGGGACTACCTGCCCGCCGTGTTCGAGAGCCTGCTGAGCGGCGACAGCGTCTGCGTCTGCGGCAACTCGCCGCAGATCGTCAGCCATACTGTCCTCGAGCTGGTACGGCACCTCGAGCTGGTCCAGCCCTTTTTGCGCTACAACCCGCTCGCGCTGGTTGACGAAGACTTTGGCGCGCGCGCCGCCGGCGAGCTTGGCGGTGTGCTCTGCGGCACCACCAATCTGCATCTCGCGCTGCACGGCCGCGAATTCGCGATCGTGCTGTTTCTCGACCGCGCGCAGTGGCGTGCGTTCTGCGTAGCGCGGAACCTAGAGGCGGCCGCGAACGCCGCCATCACGGCCGCGGGCGCGGCGCCGCGCGGCTGGTGGCCCTGGGCAGGAAAAGCAAATATGAAATGTGAAGTGTCCGCCGCGGAAAACTGCTGCGCCGTGCGCTACGGCGGCCGGCTGGCCTACGGGCATTCGCGCGCGATCGCCGCCTGCTTTGGCGCGGCCGCGGTGTTTCCCTGTTTGCTGGTCGCGTTTTTGGGCACGCTGGCGCGCGTGTTGGACGCGCACAGCGGGCGCGACGCGCCGCTGCGAAACGCGCGCGAGGTCTGCCGCGCGGCGGAGCGCGCGCCTGTGTTCCGCAGCGCGTTTGCGCAGTTCGACGCGCTGGCAATGGTGGATCACATATTAAGCTCGAAAATTAAAAAAATTCTGGCGAACGAGACGTAGTCATGAGCAGACGCGCGCAGACTGCGCGCGAGATGTAAACGCTGCCGCGCGATGGAGAGAGAAAAGACGCGTCTGAACTCGCACGCGTTTAGCAGCGAGCTCGATAACAGGTCGAAGTCGTTTTTCCGCAACGTAAGTTGCACGCGCGCGACCGCAGGTTACGCTCCCTTCCGAGCTGGAAGTTTCGAACGCGCTGCCATTTTTCGTCTGCGTGGCACTCGCGCTCGCGGTCGCGGTTTTTGTGCACTGCAAAGCGCGGCAGCAACACCTCGCCGGCGTCAAAAGCTCCGTCGTCGACAACTTTCTTTCCGAGGCGCGGCTGATGCCTCCGCAGCTGTTGCTGCAGCGCGACGCTTACTGGTTCTTGTTTCTCGGTGGCTCGGCACTCACTTGTCTAGCGCTGTTAGCGTCGGCGTAGCGCCCGGCGCGCCGGCTCCGTCCGCGGCGTCGAGGTCGTCCACGGGCTCGCTCGTGAGCTTGCCGGACGCTGCGGGCTCCGCCGCGGCGGCGGCGGTCTGCGCCTTCAACTCGAGGTCGAGAAGGTGAAGCTTGTCGAGTGTCGCCTGGTCCAGCCGCGTGCGCAGCGTGAACACCGGCGGCTTGCTCATCGCGAGCAGAAACGCGGACGCCTGCGCGGTCGCGCTGCTCACCGCGATGTTCTTGCGGCTCGAGGTGATCGCAGAGACTACCCACTCGGGGAACTTGTTCAGCTTGTCGGGCTTGGCGTAGCGGTAGTCCGCGAGCACCATCAGCCCATAGTCTGCCTTGTTGCGGATCACGCGCCCGAGGCACTGGCTCGCCTGTCGCATTGCGTCGAACGACAAGAACTCGCCCTCCTCCAGCTGGAAGTGCTTCTTGAGAAACAGCAGCCGCGCTTTGAGTACGTGGCTCAGCGTGTACTGGTACGGCACGCCGATCAGCACCACTGCGCGCCCGTAGTGTCGGTCGAAGTCGATGCCTTCTGCGACCTTCCCACGCGCGATCGACATGAACACGGCGCCGCGGCCGATGTCGCAGCAGCGCCGGTAGTTTTCGAGCGCGACGGAACTGGCCGCGCTGTCTTTCGTCTCCATGAAAATCAGCTTGTACTTCATGATCTCCTTCGTGTAGCCCGTGTTGTACCACTGCAGCAGTACCACCGCCATGTACGCGTACGACGTGAAAAACAGCACCACGCCGTCCGGAACCACTTGGCACAGCCGCGCGACCAGCTCTCCATACTGCTGGATCACACTCGCGTCTTCGCGCAGCTCGAAACGCGAGCTGAGGTGCACGCCGTTGTCGCCCTTTCCGACGATCAGCGGGCAAATACACTCGCGGTCCAGTGACATTTGAAAGCTTTGCATAATGATCGGCGAAAAGTCGAGGATTCGCGAGTACAGGTGCAGCGGACTGATTGTCCCGCTGGTCAGCACGATGCTCGAGAAGCGCTTTGTCACCGATCTCATGCAGATCGAAGAGTCCAAACACGCGAGCCGGATCACCGGGTCGTAAATCCCCGGCGCGTCCGGGTATGGGTCGGCTATCACTACGAAGCCCTTCCAGTAGTTCGCGAGCAGCGTGCAGAAGTCCGCAACTTTCGAAAGCGACGCGAATTCTTGCAGCCGCGTGACCTGCAAGTTTAAAAACAGCGTCTTCAGACGGTCGTAAAACAACTTCAGCGCACTCGCGTCAAACTTCAGCACGTCCTCAAGGTTCCGCAAAAACGAGAGCGGGCCCTCGATCGAAACCTCCAGCCGCTTCACGTACGAGTCGAGAAACACCACCACCAACAGCAAGTTGTTCAAAAAGATGCGGTTCTTGCGGATGCTGCCGGGCAGCAGCGCGCCGAGCTTCGCCTGCTCTTCGGGCAGCAGCGGCGAGCTCATGAACTCGTCGACGAGTTGCGCGTAGTCGCGCTGTTGCGCCGCGTGCACGCCTTCCACGAGCGAGAGCTTCACGCGCTCGAGTTCTGCGGTCTCGCGCTCGCGCACCAGTTTCTTTAACTGCTCGAGCGAGAGCCGCGCCTCTTCGAGGTTCGTACTGTAAATGTCCACGCTCAGCGCTTCAATGCAAACGTTGTCGATGTTGTGCGCTTCGTCGAAAACCAATGCCCACGGCTGCTTTGCGATGTTCGCGACCGCGACCTCCGAGTTTGCCTGCGCGTACACGCTGCTCTGCCCGAACGGGATCTGACTGACGCGCGGGTCCAGCACATACTGGTAGTTGAGCACGACGATCTGCGCGCTCTTGGCCAACTCGCGCGAGCCGTAGTACGGGCAGAACGCGAGGTTCTGCGCACTCAGCGCTTGCAGCGCTTGTTCCTGCAACAGCGCCTGCGGAAAATACGTCTGCGCGACCGCTTCGTCGAGCTGCAGTGCGCGCATCACCATGATCAGGCTGCAGCTCTGCAGCTGGCTCGCGTCGCTCTTCAGAAACAGCTTGAGCGCCTTCAAGTCGTCGAGCGTGTACGCGTCTGGCCGCAGCACGCTGAAGTTCCAGTTCTGCTCGAGTGTCTCGAACCACGGACACACCGCGCAGCCGTGGTCCGCCGCCGCGCGAAAAGCCTCCTCCATGTCCAGCAAAAACTCGCCGGCAGGCGCTGCCGACGCGGCCGCGGGCACCGCGCCGGGCAGTTGACTGCTCGGCTCGTGGTTCGGCAGCTCGCTGCTGTAGTACTTGCGCCGGTTCCAGGGCACGATCAGCGAGCGGCACTGCTCGTCAACCTGTCCGCGCCCCGCACTCTTGTTCACCGACGGGTTCACGCACAAGTTGCGTCGCGCAGACAGCCCGCAAGCCATGATGTTCGCCGCGTTCACGCGAGCCACCAGCCGGTCCAGCGGACGGCCCGCCTGCAGCGCATCCATGAAGTCCTGCAGCAAGCACTGCATGCGGCAGCGTAGCACTAGCCGCAGCTCGAGCAGCGCCTTATTCATCTCGCCCACCGTGCGCGTGCAGAAGTAGAATTTCTCAAGAGTCTCTGGGTACACGAGCATGTACGCGCTGTACAGCGCCATCAAGCAAACAGTCTTCCCGGTTCCCGTGGGCATTTCGAGCACCGCGTTGCCCTTCGCATCTAACGTTCGCTTCAAGTGCCGCATGTACGCGTACTGCTCGGGGTACACCGCATCGTGCGGGAAGAACACTTCGATTTCTTCGATGTGAAAGCGCATCATGGCTTCCGCACAACGTTCTAGTTTGAGCCAAGATCTGCTTGCCGCGTGCTAGCGGAGCCGCAAGCCGCTTCTCAATGTCCCATTAACTACAGGCATAAATTATCATTTTGTTTTCTCCGCTGCCTCAAGTCATGTCCAACGCCGCGAGCCGCGTCGGCCGTCTCTTCCCCGTACAAGTCGGCGCGCGCTGGAACGCAGCGGCGCGCGCGTGGGTGCTCGCGGACAAGAAGCTCTCGCAGAAGGACAAATTGGTGTTCACGCTGAGCTTCTGCGCAGTGCAGTTTAGCCCCAGCAGCATCGCGACCTGCCGGATCTGCGGTTCCGCCATTCCGAAAGGCGACGTGCGCCTCTGTTACCCGCTGCGCGACCCGCGCGGCGCCTTCGGCGTGATTGCCGCCTGGGTGCATGGCGCTTGCTCCAACTTCGTCGTGCAAAGTCTGTACGGCGACTACTGCGCGCGCTTCGAGCAGGGCGAGCGGTTTGAAATCATCGACGACGATAATGCTGAACCTGTGTCACTCGAGACATTTGCGCGCTACGCCTGCGCCGGCCTCGACGCACTCGGCGCCGAGAGCAGCGTCTCCGCGCTGCACGAGATGACCAAGCCGCTCACCACGCGGGAGGTAAGCGACATCGAGCTCGAAGAAGTTTCTGTTACGCCCGTCGACTCCGTCTCCGGCTTGCATGGCGAGTTGCTGCCTTTCCAAAAGATCGGCGTCGCTTGGCTCAGCGCGCAAGAGCTCAACCGCCGCGCCGCAGGCGGAATTCTTGCAGATGAGATGGGTATGGGCAAAACTGTGCAGCTGATTGGCCTTCTGCTCAACAACCGCGTCAGCCCCGCGCGCGGGGACGGAGCCGCGCGCTCGCCGCTGATGCTGCAAATGGAGCTCGCGCGCAACTCGATTGAAAAAGCGCCGCTGATCGTCTCCGGCTTCGCGCAGAGCGCCGCAGCAGAATCGCTGCAACTCGAGGAGCAGCATTTCGCTGAGCACGACGCCGTCTACAAGCCGCAGTCCACAGCTGGTGCCACACTCGTAGTTGTCCCGACTGCTGCGCTGATGCAGTGGAAGAGCGAGCTCACGACCTTTGCGCCTGCGCTCAACGTTCTTGTCTATTACGGCACCAATCGCGCGAAAGTTGAGCCGCAGTTTCTGCACGCGGACGTTGTGCTGACCACCTACAATTGCCTCGAAGTTGAGTACCGTAAAGTCATGAACCGCCACCGCAAAGAATGCCCCAACTGCGGCAAGCTCTTCCAGGCCGACAAAATCCGCTTTCACCTTAAGTACATGTGCGGTGCCAGCGCGCGTAAGACCGAGGCGCAGAACAAGCAGCTGCGCAAAACGAAGGAAAAGTTCGATCCGAGCAAAGCGCCGCCAACTGTCTCGAATCTCTACAAAGAGATTCTCGTAAAGGCTGGCCGAGAGGACGAACTCGGCGGCTACGTCGGAGTACCGTGGATGGGCTCCTCAAAAAGCGCGCTCAGCAGCAGCGCCGCTTCCACTCAGCACTTGCCGCCGCGCGGCGAGTCGGACAACTCCATGATCTCTGCCGATAAGTCGATTGACGCGCCGCTACTGGATTTCGCTGAAGCTGCTCCCTGCAGAACCAAGCGTCGCGCCGGCCGCAGCGCACGGCCTGCTTTGCGAAGCGCGAAGAAGGTGAAAGCCGACAACGCTGAGCCGGCCGAAGACAACGCCCCGTCTGATTCGATAGACGCAAAGCTCGCCTCCCTCTCGCAGTTAAGCCTTCAAATTGAACAGAACCGTTCCGTCGCCAACACCAGCGCCAACACCGACGCCAACACTGCTGCCCCGACTCTTGCTGGCGCTGAAGACACAGAACTCTCGTACGAGCAGCTTTCTGCGCTTGCCGAACTTGGCTGTCCAGAAGCCGTCAACTCGCGACTTGTAAGCGACCCCCTTGTGCAGGCGCTTACAGGCGTCTCTGCGCCCCGCACCAAGCGCGAGTCCGCAGCGAACCGGCGCGGGCCGGTTAAGCGAGAACAGCACTCTTCTGAAGACGACGCGCACAGCGTTTACGAGTCAACGAGCGAAGAGTCCGACGACTTTGAAAGCGATTCTGTTTCGAGCGAAAGTTTCGTTTCTCGCAGCGATGCGGACAGCGACGAAAGCAGCTGCATAAACAGTAAGCGAAAGAGCCACTCGCGTGCCGAGTCTGTCGCTTCGTCAGGCGCGACTTCGGTCAGCAGTTTTTCAGACGCAACCTCGCACAGCGCCTTATCCTCCGTTGCTGCAGCGCTAATTGAAGAAGTCGGCGACGCCGAGCATCTCAGCGACTTGCACGTTCCGAAGCTGAAGGCGTATTGTGTGCAGCTCGGCTTGCAGGTGACTCCTGCAGACGTGCGCCGCGCCGCCCCGGTGAAGGCGGACTTCGTCGCCACGCTAAAGCAGTACCTCGCGGGAGACAGCTCGAAGGTGCGCGCCGAGCCGGCTGCGCGCATCGACTTCTCTGTCAGTGCGCTCCACCGCTTCCCTTGGCGCCGCATCGTGCTCGACGAAGCGCACCGCATCAAGAACGTGAACTCGAACATCTCCAAGAGTGCAATGTTACTGCGTACTTGCGGCGCGAAGTGGTGTTTGACCGGCACTCCTCTGCAAAACCGCGTAGACGAGCTCTACGCGCTGATCAAGTTCCTCGACTTTTACCCCTTCGCGCACTACTTTTGCAATAAGAAAGGCTGCAACTGCTGCAGCTCTTTGTACAAATTCGACGCCAACGCGAAGTGTTTGGAATGCGGCCACACCAAGATGCTGCACTTCTCTTTCTTCAATCGCGTGATCGCAAAGCCGGTCGTGTCCTATGGCGCGGTAGGCGAAGGCTACAACGCGCTGCTTCGGCTGCGCAAAGAAATTTTGCGTGTGGTGATGTTGCGCCGCACGAAAGTCCAATGCAGCGCTGACGTGGCACTCCCGCCGTTGGAGATCGTTGTCGACAGGTACGATTTAAACGAAGCCGAGCTCGACTTCTACACTGCGATTTACACAAAGAGCAAGATCAAGTTTGACGCATTTGTGGAGAAAGACATTCTGCTGCACAACTTCGCGCACATCTTCGACTTGCTCAGCCGGCTGCGCCAAGCGGTGAACCACCCGTACTTGATCGTTTTAAGCAACTTGAACGCATTCGAAGTACCTTCCGCGAAGCGCAATGAGCACGATACAAATTGCGCGATCTGCTACCAGTTCCTCGATTTCACAGACTTTGCGTTGTCCACGTGCAAGCACTACTTCCACAAGGTGTGCATTCAAGAGTACATTGAGTCGATCGGGCTGGACGAGAAGATCGAGTGCCCAGTCTGTCGCACTTCGCTCACGCTGCTGGACGACGACGCGGCGATGCTGAAGAACGAAAGCATGCTCAAGAAACGACCGAAGAGCATCGTCGACAAAATCAACACCGAGAAGTTCGAGTACAGCACCAAGCTTCGCGCGCTCATTTCGCTCGTGTCCAAAGCGGAAGGCAAGTGCATTGTGTTTTCGCAGTACACCGCGTTCCTCGAGCTCATCGACTTCGCGCTAAAGAAAGAGAAAATCAGGAGCGTCGTCTACACGGGCGCGCTGACGATCGAGGGGCGGCAGGCGATTCTGCGCGAGTTCAACTTCGACGCGGACTTGAAAGTGATTTGCATTTCGCTCAAGGCTGGCGGCGAAGGCCTGAATCTGCAGGTCGCGAACAACATCTTCATTATGGATCCTTGGTGGAATCCCGCCGCGGAGCTGCAAGCGATTCAGCGCGCGCACCGCATTGGTCAGCGCAAACCGGTCAAGGCGGTTCGCATCATCACAAACAACACCATCGAAGACCGCATTCTGCAGTTGCAGGAGAAGAAGCAGCTGATTTTTAATGGAACGGTCGGCAACGAAACGAACGCTTTTTCGAAACTAACTGGCGAAGATCTTAAATTTTTGTTTCAGTAATTTTTTCAATGATCACCTTTTCCTGCGGTGCGCATAGAACGCATTTTCTGTGCGTTTCGCTCTCTGCATAGTAGCAGACATGAGTGGCGCCAAAAAACTCAGCAACCCGTTACTCAAGCGACTGCGGAAAACTTTCGAAAGCGCGGAAGCGCCGGCCGTTTGCCCGGATACCGACGCGGAGGCGGCCGCAGTGTGGTCGTTTAGCAGCGACCCAGCGTTTGCTTTGGCGAAGTTATTGTTCCCGAGCGCACGCATCGAGAAGGCGCGCGCTTCTTCCACGCGCCACGCGCGCGTCGCGGACGACTCGGAGGGATCTGCGGCGAGCGAGAGCGAAGGCGCGCATTATGTGCCGCACGCGCCGGAGCGGAGCGCGGCGCATGGCACCACGGGCGACTGCCTTGCTGACTGCACGGAGTCGCGGGGAGCGGCGCTACCGGAGTGCGCCGACGCGCTTTTCCGCGGCTTTCCGCTGTTCGACAAAATTTACCGCTACTCCGCGCTCGGCATTGCTCTGCAGGTCACGCTCGCCGAGCTGATGAGTGAGCAGCCCGCTCTTGCGGAGTCTGCGGAGAGCATCTTGGCGCGTTTCGATAAGGTGATGATGTCAGACTTTGCGGTGGCGCGCAAGCTTTACAGCGCCCAGCCTTCGCGCGTGCTCGCGGCACGCGGCGAAATTTACTCGTTCAAGATCTACTGCGGCAGCTACTATTTTGTGTTGCGCGACTTGGTGGTTAGCCAGCAGACGCTGGACAGCGGCGAGCGCGTAGTGACGAACGCGAGCTGGATTCGGCTGCTGATGTGCGCTTATTGAACGAGCCCAGGGAGTGCAATAGCAGCCTCTGCTGTGCACCGGAGTATGAAGACTGGAGAGTTACGACATTCGGCGTAGCGGAGCACGCCAGGCTAGACGCTACGGAGTCGAGAGAGGAATGTGACGGCAAGGACAAAATGAAAATTGATTATTTGCCCATTATCATTTTTTAGCGCGAAAGTTGATGCGCTATGAATGGTTACTCGTTCTGCCCGAAGTCTCATGCCGGCATTACTCCAGTAACCAGT